GTTGTTGTGGTCAGCCGGATAAATTTGGAATTTACCATGTCTCGATTTTGTCAAATACACAGCTTTTAACTTCTTCTTCGTTTCAATGATTTTGTTTTGTTTTATTACGCATTTATTTTCTCTATCATTTGTTTGAATAAAGATGATGAGCATTAACTTCTTGAAAAATAAATGTAAAAAAAAACAAGCTGCTTAGTTAATCAAATTAAAAACCTAACAACAGAAACTATTTTGTTATGAGATGTTTCAGAAAGGCAGAAGAAAACAGTGAATTTTTTTTATTAGAAACAGTTCCATAAGGAAAGATCCAAGTTTCACGTGTAGTCTTTCGGCGTGTCCTTCGTAAACCGTTCGTCTAGGCCTGTAAGCAGAAAAAATTTTTCCAGAAAGGAAAGGCTGGTTGAACTGTGGTATGAAAAAACACAAGCAGAAATTCAAACGGCGACTTTTCCTATTTTTTCATATCGTTAGGGAACTTTCCGACGGCCACCTTTCTGCCGAATCCCTTTCCGACTTTTTTCCCTTATATTTTTCGGTTTATAAAACATCTATCAACATATTTTTTCCTATTTTTTGTGTGTTTTAAACATGAATAACTTGCCTACTTTATATAGGGATATTTAAAACGAAAAGTTTATTGAGAAGAAAAATTCGATAAAAAGATTGGTCGGAAAGTTGCCTAGCGATATGAAATAATCGGAAAAAGTGGTCGTTCGAATTTTTTTGCTGTTTTTTTCATACCACCGGTTGAACCGTGGTATTCATTTTTCGTGTATAACTGAACAGACAAGACATATTGAAAAATAAAAAGAAAAATAATATCGAAGAATAAGAGAACTCACGAATTTATGCTTGACTGTAGAGACGAAAAATTTTTGCGTTACCTTCACACGAGCCGCTCGTGCCTCCCTAACGAGTCTAAATTTTTGTGAAAAAGAATCAAAAAAATTGTAAAAAAATAACTGCGAAAAAAAGTTTTTTTGAATGAAAAATCACCTTTTTTTCAACTTTAGCACTTTCGGTAATCCAATACCCGCCATAGTTTAGAGACCTGCAACTTCAAACACTCTGATACATCCGTTGGAAAAAAAAATAAACACGATAAATTTGAAATTGGAGAAAGATTGAACTTTTTTTAAGTTCAGACAGTCGAAAAAATTAACTTAAGGCTTTCATTCGTACTATTTCTAAAATCAATAACTTTGAACGGGTTGAAAATTAAAAAATAAAAGAAAAAAATCATCTAAAACAGAAAAAGAAGAAAAAAAATTATCTCGAAATTATCTCAAAAATCGAAATTCGCTAATTTCGAAGTATCGCCGTGAACGCTCTTTTTGAATTTCGAAAAAAATTTCCCGTTTTGCTCCTGAACGCGCCATAATGAAAAACAATAATCAAATCAACAAAAAAACAAAAACAAAAAAATTAATTGCGAAAATTTTTGAAAATTTCCTTTTTTTCCGCGTTTGATCGTTGCGAGACCCAATGCTGCAGCACCCGCGTAGCAGGCGCGTCGCGGCCCCTCGAAATGCCAATTTTCAGGATTTCGGGTTTTCAAATTAAACGAGAAAATCGTTATTTTTTTTTAATTTTTCGATTCCCCGAAATTACTTTGAACACGGCATTTATTCGATGCCGCCTTCAAAGCTAATTCGACGCGCGCAGCGAAAAAGTTTTTCTGGTTCAAAAGCCCGAGCCGAAACGCGGCGAAAAGCAACAAAACGCAGCAGATTCCCACGAAGTGATTGGATTGGTTCGCCCCGCCCAGGCAAGAAAAATATTTTGAAAATAAATTTATATTGAACATTTGCGCAAATTGCCAAAAAGGCGGAGCCATCCAATCACGTCGTCGGAACTTGCTGCTTTTTGCTGCGTTTCGGCTCGTGCTATTGAACCAGAAAAACTTTTTCGCTGCGCGCGTTAAATTAGCTTTGAACGCGGTACGATTCTCTGGACAAGCGTTTGTTGCTGAGAGATTTCCATGGAAATCTCTCAGCAACAAACGCTTGTCCAGAGGAATAACTGCCGAGATAAACGCGAGACGCTGGCGGTACATTGACGAGCTCGCAAACATCTCGCGTTTTTTCTCGCCCCGGTCTCGCATTTTTCTGGGCGCGAGCTCGCACTTTTCTAGGCGCGAGCTCGCATTTCTCTCGCAATTTCAAAATTTCCGAAATGCAAGATAAATGCGAGATGGCGCCGAGAAAAATGCGAGGTCGCGCCGAGATAAATGCGAGATAGCGCCTACAAAAAAGCGAGATGTTTGCGAGCTCGTCAATGTACCGCCACCGACCTCGCGTTTATCTCGTCAGTTATTCTTAGTGTACAATATCTAAGCATATATATTGTATATACAAGCGATCGTGAGAGCGTACCTCGTTCATTCATTTGAATGTTGTATTTTATCGTTTTTTCAGGCTTGTGCGTCAGGCCGGGCGGCTCGGCCCGGGCTTTGGGCCGCATTTTTTGGGAAAAGCCTGCGCGGTCTTGGGCCACGCAGGGCTTCGAAAAACATTTCGAATTTCATTAAAAATGTTTTCATCTGAAAATTATTTTTACTTTTAAATCATAGTTTTTGTTGAACTACGCGTAAAAAAATAAGACAAACGTGACGTTTTACGTAAAAAAGAAACTTGATATTCGACTTGAAAAAAATTGAGCTATCTAAGCCGACCCGACCATTTTTTCTCGAAGCCCCGCTGAGGCAGGGCCGAGCCGGGCTGAGAAAATGATCGAAGGCCTTTAGGCTGACGGGCCGGCCCTTCCACAAGCCTACTAATTGTTTATTTTAACTCTTTTTCACTTTAGTCAGGAAGACGCGTTTTACTAGGGAACTTTTTTACTTCCCGGTTGAACTTTTGATGAAACTTTGCTGAAGTGTACTTTAAGACCCCCTGATTCCAGAACAAGAAGAAAGTTTCTTGCAATAGATATCGTTTTCGAGTTATGACACTTCAATAGCTTGAAATAACGCTTTTTTGTCTTAATTTGCATATTTTGCGGACTTGAAGCTCCATAACTCGAAAACGAGATCTATTGCGAGAAAAATCTTCTTCTTGTTCTGGGATCAGGGGTCCTAAAGTACGCTTCAGCAAATTTTCATCAAAAGTTCAACCGGGAAGTAAAAAAGTTCCCTAGTAAAACGCGTCTTCCTGACTAAAGTGAAAAGGAGTTTCAAAATAAATAATTAGTAGGCTTGTAGAAGGGCCGGCCCGTCAGCCTCTAAGCCCACGATCATTTTCTGAGCCCGGCTCGGCCCTGCCTCAGTGGGGCTTCGAGAAAAAATGGTCGGTTCGGCTCAGAAAGCTCAATTTTTTTCAAGTCGAATATCAAGTTTTTTTTTTACGTTAAACGTCACGTTTTTTTACGCGCAGCTCAAAATTATGATTTAAAGTAAAAAAATTTTTTAGGTAAAAACGTTTTCAATGAAATTTGAAATGTTTCTCGAAGCCTGGCTTAGCCCAAGCCCGCGCAGGCTTCGTTGCGATAATTAAACCAGCCAGTCGCACAAGCCCGGACCTCGGTGCCGCAAACCGTACGCACTCCGGACTCTTCTGAGCATGTCTAATAATTCCTTCACCACTCAACAATAATTACTAGAAACTCTAAGAAATGTCCGGGACAATTTGCGTCCGATTTGCGTTACGGAGGTCCGAGCAATTAAAGCCTTCATTCTTTGGACAAGAAGGACTTTGTAATTTTTTTTTCCTTTCTTTTCTCCTTTGCAATAAAACACAGAAGAAAAAAACCCTCAACTGCTTTTAAGAGCATTGGGCTGGTACCTGGTATTTCTTGGCCGGCCTCGCGGTTGATTGAACTACGTCCGCCGTGGATTTAGTGTCGTTGAACCGCCATGGACTCATCTCAACTAGTTCGTTGAGAGCTTTCTGCAATAATTTCAACATTGAAAAAAGCAAGTCGATGAGTTATTCGAATCACAATGTTTTGGCTGTTTAATTATGTGAAGTCTCAAGTAAGTTAGGGAAGTCTTATCTAGTCAGGAGAACTAACTAGGCGGTGCGCTAGAGCTCCGCTCGGCCTTGTCAAAACTAAGTATCCTAGGCGCCGAAGGCCGTGACGGCATTTTCCGTGGGGGTCCCATCATCGCTTTGTCAGCATCGCGCTGCCAACAGTTTATGCCTCAGCCACAGGAATGGGCTTCGGCTTGACATTGCGTATCCAGTTTGCAAGCAAAAAGGATCGGCACTCCGGGAGTCCCACGGGCCTATTCTACTAGCGCTTACTACTAAGAGAACTATTTTGGAATTTGGAATTTTTTGGAAGTTTAAAACTCATCTTGACGTAGAGTTCAGGAGCAGCAAGACGGCGTCGTGAGGAAAGTAGAAATGAGATTTGCACCCAAGTCAAAAAAGACGAAATGACACGTTGCCACGTGGTTTTTGTAAGCGTTCGATTTTAGAAAATGACGCCTCCCAAAGGGTTCACGTTTTATTTTTTGCAGAGAATTAAATTTTTGTTCTGATTAAAACTCTGGGTCGTATGACGCAAAAGGTAGAGCTAGTGGGTTCTTAAAAAAAGCTTTTTTTGAAATTTAAATTTGTAAATGTTTGGGTTTTCTAGTTTTTTTTTTCCCGAGCTTTTGTATTTTTTTGTCCTCTTGCAAAAACATAATTCGTGTAACTTGAAGCCAAATTAAATTTGCTAATGCATTTCGTAGTTTTTATTATATAAATAATCTGAATAACATTATTTTTTTCTTCCTTTTTTTATGATGGTTTTTTTCGAACTCAATTTAAAAACTCCTCCTTCTATTTATCAATTGTTTTTTTCTGGTGCCAATTTTTCATTTCAATCTTTGTCATATTTAGAAATGCTTATTCGATGGGAGGTACCTATATAATATTTTTTATCTAAATTGTGACAAGGGGCGCGGGATGGGCTATAGGACTTCAAGGTTAACATGACAAAATTTTTTCAATTTCATCCTTTTTGCACTTCCTATCAAAATGATAAGGTCTGTTAAATATAATTTATTTTCTTTAGGAGTCCTCCTTCGCGGAAATTCCAGTATGAATAGATTCAGTAGATGAAGAAGCCGGAAACACAGGCGGAGCCGTCGTTGTCACAGTGCCAACGCATTTCAACTTCTCCCATTGTGAGTAGCGAGGAGGTGAGGTTTCCGCGGTTGATATTCGCGCTTCCAGAGTCTGAATATCATGGTTTTTAGGTTTTTACTTTTGAAAAAAGGCCCTTTAAAGCAGAAGACTTGAGGAAAACGAATAAAGAGCTCAAAACGGAGTTTAAAAACACTTTCCAAGAATATTTCCGACTATTCTCTACATTTTAACATTTTCTGGCCTATAATATACGTTTTGTCTGCTCAGTATCTTTAAATTTCGATACCAAAAAAATAATCTCTCGGAATTAAATTCACGATTATTTAAAAAAAAGAAGACCCTTAACCTTATGGTTTTCTGATCATAAAAAAAGTAAGGAAAAAAGTCAATTCTGAAAAATTATTGTAAGCTACTCAGGTTATGCCGGGGAATTAGTCCTTTGAAAAGTCCAGATTTTTTTTTTCTGAGTATTGAAGAACTGAATTATAACCGAGTATCGCGGCGGACTGTCGGGATTCGTACCGCCGACCTCAGCGGCTCTGGCTTGGAGATGCATCCGATGGATGTTGTGCGGGTAGAGTAGGGCGGCGTCTCGTTGTGGGAACTGAAACGGACCGACTTTTCAGCCTTTTTAGGTCTAATTTTCAAAGAAAGAATTGATTTTCAATCCAAACTCGGACCTCGGTAACGCATAGCTAGGGATCACTTAAGGTTTCTGACGCCGCTAAGGTGGTCTCTCGAAATGCTCGGAAAGGGGACGCGTTTTGGTTTTCTTTTGAACTTTAAAAACGTTGAAACTTCGCTCCAATGAACCACGATTCTATTCAGCTGATCTTCGCCACTTTACTGCTTTTTTAGACGTTTTGATTCAACTAAAAACGTACTGGAAGGAGTTCATTTTAGGGTTGCATGACTTTTGGAGCTACCTTTCCTGCAAGAAGCTTCTGTGCAGTTGTTTAATTGTCCCTCCTGGAGTCTTCTGTCGTCTTTTGTAATTTTCAAGTATCTACTATCTTTTCCGAGTCCTCCCTATGAGCTTATATATATGCCATTTTTCCAACCTCTTCCAAAGGCTGCATCGTCTTCAAAACGGTGATCGCGCTGATGCTGAACATCGAGAAAGCGGAGGCGATGAGGAAGGTCGCGGGGATAAGTAATTTGGGATCCGCTTTGACTATGATCGAGCAAATCTTCAGTGTATCTGAATCATTCAAAATCTTCTTGGAAGCACGTCGAAGGAAAAAACTTTCTGTACATTCGGACAAGGGGAACGTTTGAGGAGACATCAGGTTAAAAATCTTCGCAATCATCATACCGTAGGAGAGCAGCGACCAGCCGAGCTGAACGAATTTTTTCCGTGATTCAAAAATGACAACGAACACATCCGAGAGCAAAAGGGACCAAATAGGGCTTCATCCGGGTTACAATGCCGACCATTGCCATCACGAGGGTGAGGAGAAATAAAAAGATTATAAACTTTGGGATGTCTGGAAGTGATCAGTTTGAAGTTTTTTCTTTTGAAATTTCACCATCTTCCTGGAAGATAACTAGCAAACAAGCAGTGAAGATCCAACAAATTGACACGTATACGGTAAATGCCACCTGGAAAGGGGTCTTTTACTTGGGAACGTTAGAGGGATCCCTATTGGAGTTAGGGGAGAAAAAAGCCCCTAAAGAAATTTAGGGTTTAGCATGGCTCATAACAATCAGAATTTTTAGAGTGGTCCCTATAGAGGTTAGGGGGGAAACAGTCTCTATAGGGGCTGGAAAAGTGGTTCTTTAGCGGTAAAATCAAGGTGGCTCTTATAGGAGTTTAGGATCTGACCCTTCAACCCTCAAGTGGTTCCTATAGGAGTCTTTCAATTTTATTCAAAAAAGGTTATTTTTTTAGTTTTTTGCATGGAAATGCTTCTTCGCATAGAGCTCATAAAATTATCGACTAGCATGTTCCTTATAGGGACTACTTTGTGAGCTTTAGTGGTCCTCATAGGGTTTTAGTTAGCGGCTTTTATAGGGCAACCTTTAAGAGTCACTAGGCTCGCCCTATAGGGACCACTCGGAAGTTTCGCAGTAGAGCACACATGAAATGGCGCATTGGAGTGATTTTTTGAATTCAGTCGATTTTACTCATTTAGTGCCCATTACATAATCTTGTAAGTGAAAGCGTTTTTTGAAATTGCTATAGTTTTGTCTGGATCATCAGTTTTTAACTAATAATTCAGAATTTCATCACTTTTACTATGCTGAATTCGCTTGTAACCCGAATAGACCTTTTCAAAATGGTTGATTTAATTTGATATTTTACTGTATGTGAAATAAAAACTTCGCCACAAAGCCCTTGAGCCAAATTGTCACAGGGATCGCCAGGATTCCGTTGAGCTTGGACTTGAGGCCTTTGGGGGACGTTTTCGTCCTGGAAGAAGCGTTCAAGGTTCATCACTTCGATTCGATGCTGAACTTCGCGTTTTCGAGAAAATAAACTATGAAGGAACGGACCATCACTACGAGTTCTCCGACTCGAATCCACTATTAGAAATGAGAAAATTCTTCGTTTTTTTTCATTTAATTACTCTAGTTTTGTTTCAACCCAAGTGAATACTCAAGTGATATTAGCACCTCTTTAGTGTCCACTTGAAAATATTAAAACGCAAAAAAAGTGACTTCTTCTGAACCAACTTCTGAATGGGATTATAATCACTAGACGTATTTTTCAAAACTTTTCGCTCAGTAAAAGTGATATAAGCGCTAAAAATTGGAAAAAAAAAATCAACCTTTCGACTTTTTGAAGAAATCATCTCTTGACTTTCCCAAAATTTCAGTTTCACGGCGTTCCCGAACGGGGTTGGGAGACGTCAAAAATATTTTGGCGCGAAATTAAAAATCTCGAGTACGCAGCTAAAGGCGGAGTTACTAACGTTGGATACTCACGTAATTTGTGACGTAGAATGACGTCATTTTACCCGGAGCGCGCAATTGCTTTTTTTGTAAATTCGTAAACTTTGACGCCTCCCTCATCTTTTCTCACCCGGTTAGGATTGCCGTGAGTATATCGATCAAAATTAAGATCGATCAGAGGTTTTGATTTTTTTTTTTGCAAGTTCAAAGATCACCTTTTCTCAACAGAACTCGGGAAGTCTTTTTCTCAAAACAGAGTCACCCTAGAAATAACTTAATTTAGTGATCCTAGTACCTTTTTTAATTATCGTGTGAGTTCAAATGATTCCTTTTTTACTCACTGGAGCACAAAATACATCATATTTCTTCCATCATTTTGAGGCTATTTTTTCATTCCATGCAGATTTTTACTTCCTTGAAAAATGAGTTCTAAGGATGCGAATGAATTGAAAAATTGAATGAGTCGAGTTTTGTGCTTATCCATGGGGCACTTTTGCTGTTTTTTGAGGCGATTTGATCAATTTTTTGATTACGTGCCATGTCAATCGTTTTGAGGCTGTTTCTCCATTTTCATCGAGAAATTCCACTTCTGTAGACTTTCAGAGCCTCTTCCAATTTATGCAAAGAGTTTTCTCAATGGAGCATACATGCTTCATATATTGGAGGCCATTTTCAGTTTCTTCAAAATTCTCTTTCAATTCATGTAAACTTCTCAACGGAGCACACAATCTTCTTATTCCTCCACATTTTTGAAGCCATTTCCAGCCACTTCCCCCACATTCCACACCGCACTGAAACTGTTAACAAAGTCCTTGTTTTATCCATTAAAACAACAATCAGCGACGACGTCAGAATCGTCGGGAAAGGTAGGAAATGGCATTGGGGGGAGTGCGTTGAAAGAAGAAGAGGACTTGATTTTCAACGTGACGGTGGTGGTCGCTGGAAACGAAAGAAACGAAACGCGAAGAATCGATATACAGAAGACGTGGATCCGGTCTTGTCTCTTGTCTGCCGCCCTCCGGTTCCGCCGCCGTCCTTTTTTGACTTTTTTTTTGCTTCTTTTTTTGTTGGTCGGTATCTTTTTTGTTGGGTAGGAACATTACAGCGACCAGGTGCGTGTTGGGTAGAAGCTTCGAGGTTTTTGTTCTCACATGTTCCGATTCCTATTGTTTCTGATAAGCGAAAGTCCGATTTCAAGTTTGTTCTGAAGACACTTGCAACAAAGTTGACTGATTTCTTATTATTCTTCCTTCAAACTAGTCAGAATCAATAAACCAAAAAAATGCTTTTGTATTGAACGTTTTGCCCGCTCAAAACCTTGACCGGCCAAAATTTGAATTTTTTTTAATTCAACGGCGTTTGCTGAAGATTTTTCTGAAGACTTTCTTAAACTCACTAATAGAATTTTCTTCCTTAACCCAAGTGCGTGACCTTAAAAAGCGGACCACTAATCTGACCATTCGTACTTGAAAAATCATTCTGAACACTTTTTTTCAAGTTAAAAAGTCCTTGACAGAACGTTTGTCTGCCCCCAATCCGCATTTTCTTTTGTGATTCACTTCCTTTTTGCAAATTCTCTACGCCCGCCCTAAATATGCAACTTGTTCGAATAGCAACTTTTGAAATTAATTAAAACGACGCTCCAAATTACGCTTTTAACTAAATTTAAAAATTCGATTAATCAGTAATGAAAAAAATAATTCTTCTGTGAAAGATATTGATAAAAAAAGTAGTAAGGAGCGTCTTTGGGAGCATCTTGTTAGTAATATATAGTCTGTGTGCCACGACTTGAAATTTCACGGAACGACATTCCGCTGTTCCGCTGCGTGCTTTGCATTGCTGTGGGAGCGCATGAAAGTAGAGTACCTTGATGAAAGAAAAAAATAAAATAAAAGCGCGACCAAGGTTCGCAAAGGCGCGCAGCGGCACAGCGAAATGTCGTTTGGTGAAATTCCAATTCGTGGTACACAGGCTATATCAAAATTCGAGAAATTAGCCTATTTTCCCTTTTGTAAAAGTTCTGTTATTGCTTAAGTTCCTCATAACTCTCAACCCTTCTAACTCTTCTCAATATTTTTTAGTATTGAAAGGAAAATCTGCTTCGGTTGGGCAGGTTGCTTTTCGACGTTAGCGCAACGAGGCGTGCAAAACTCGCTTAGGCATATTTTTCAAAATGTGATTTTATTTCTGTGGGAAAAACTTTCCGTTGTGAAGACGTATAAATCTGGTCCCTCTGGACTTCCTTATCCATTTCGTGAAGTTTTCAACTTGAAACAATAATTTTGCAGGATGCGATGGCTGCCAAACTTGATAATAGCATTATCAGTGGTAGATCAAGCCATCGGCCAGCTTGACTGTGATATTCTCGACCCGGCATGTAGAGCTAGATACAGGTGAGTATTAAATTTAGCTTTTTTCTTTTTTTAGTGAATTTTGAAATTTTTGCTTTTGAACTGTGTTATGTGAGCTTCGGAATCTAATGACAAACTTTGAAAATTCCTTTTTCGTAAGTTTTTGTAGCGTTCAATAGACCGAAAAGCCTCGATTCAAGATTTTCCGGGTCCTGACCAATCATCAACCTATGGAAGGGAAAAATGTATATATAAATGCAATCTTGCATCCATGATTTGTATTTTTAAACATTCTGGGAAAATAGTGGTTTCACTATAGAGGTTCTCCAAGGACTACTTGGAGAGGACACTAAAGTGGCCACTAAACCCACCTCTATAGTGGCCATTATTTTCCGTTTTAGTGGCCACTTCAGTAGTTTTTTATCCATTATTCTTTCCAGTACTCTGATAATTTTGAAACAAACAGATTAGACCAGTTATGTTGATCCATTGGCCCCTGAAGTGGTCTAGTAGTAGCACTTAGACCTCTATAGTGCCCCATAATTTTTAACCCCTTAAGTGGCCCCTAATTTGACTACTACAGTGGCGACTAAAAGGTCAAAACCCTAAAGTGGCCACTAAAAGTTTTCTCAGTTCATTATCGATTTGGATCAATAAGAGTCTCCTTTTGCACAATTTAAGCAGATAAGAAGAAGTTCGAGATTTTTCAAAGTTTTGATCACCTTGATCTACCTCAGGAAGGTATCGAACAAGGACCGCTTGGTCTATAGACACGATGCCTAGCCACTGAGCTACCGAAATTCTCCTTCTCGTTTCAGAAACGGGGTCCGGTTCTCCGACGCGAGGTCGAGGCTCGACTCTCGGTGCAACTACCAGGACATTTGGCTGATCCCCGGCCGCGCCGACGCCAGCTGCAGTCCGTGACCGCAGCTAACATGAGCAATGTTCAACGCTGAGTGTTTTCAGCCAGGCCCGGCGCCAAGCGCATCCTCGAGATCAACCCCGGGCAGGTGCACATCAAGCCGGAAGTCGTACGCTTCCCTGGATGTTTCACCCTTGAGATTAAGAACGTTAAAGTGAGTTCATTAACTCTCTGTTTTTTTTTTGAATAATTTTTTCTATGTTTTTTCACTGATCTCTCTTAAAAATCAGCTATGATTCCTTTAATGCGTATTATCATGATAACCTTTATCAAGGCTTTTTTCTGTTTCCTGTCGGAGTGTCGTCCCAAAAAATGCCTATTATTTTTTTTCTTCGATTTTTAATGTTATTTGAAGCTTTTCGGTGCGAAATTGTAGAATTTTCCTCTTATAATCCCTTATAAGAAATTCATGGCTCTTATTTTCATTTTCAAAAAAAAGAAAAACTTTTTACTCCGCAAATATATTCTCGTAAACTACGGAAGATTAGTCAATGATCCAGTCAAAAAAAAATCAATAAATCACAGGTGCAAGACTCGGAAGAAGCCTTGGACAACAGCTTCTTCGCCAAGGCCGAATATCAGTGGTGGAACGTCAAAGATTTCTCAAACTTAAAATGCCAAAACTCTACAAATAACGGGTGCGGAGGCTACGGTAACAATTGGTGAGCTCATTTTATCCAAAGTACTCTTTTTGATTGAAATTCCGCTTATGAAAAAAAAAATTTCGATGTCGAATTCGGGCAATTATGACGTGGCGCGGAGAGAATCACCGAAAGATGATTGATCAAAATCAAAAATTTCTGGTTTTTTCGTTCCTGTCCATCAACAAAACGGACGTTTTTCGGGAAAAAAAAGAGTATCAACCTAAGTGGACATTTTCGCATCAAAAAAAATTACCACTGTGAAAACTTTTTGGGTTTCGTGACAGTTTCATTCTAACTTCTTGCGGAACGCGGAACGGACGTTTCTGGACAATTCTAGGGATCACTTAAGAGTGCTGAGGCTACTAAAGTGGTCACTAGAAATGTCCAGAAACGTCCAGAGCAAGCCTGTTCCGCGTTACCAATGTCCGAGTTATAACTCAAACACAATTAGATCTTACATGGAAGGTCATTTTTGCAGTTTCAAAAAAAAATTGTGTAAAAAAAGTATTTTTGAAATAACATGGTCATTGAACGGTTTTGATCATGAAATTGCGACATGTTCAAAAAAACCAAAAAAAAATGGCAAAAAACGATATCCGCAAAAAGATTCGAACCTTCATCATAGGCTTCGCGGGTTACCGCGCTGGCCACTGCGCCACGCTCCCAGGTGCCATTGAGAAAGTTGATTTTTTTCTTTAAAGGAAATGGAATCAGAAAAAAATTCACTTCCAGCTGAAAACTTACCGAGAAAATCCAACTATTTTCTCAGTAAAAGAACTATTTCCAGCTACTACTGCGACGTGTGTGAATCCCTGACGGAACTCGAAAAAGAAGAGCCGCGAAAGACGTTGGCTTCACAGCTCAAAGGAATCAACTGTCCGAGCAAACCCGGCTTTTACACCTTCAGAAAGGTTCTAAAAAATTTCTTTTTTCTCTAACAAAAAACTTTGAAGGAGTTTTGTTTCAACGACTGGTCAGCCTTCGATGCCGACGGCGACTGCGAAATGGATTTTATCCAAGGCGACAAGGGCGACTACAAAGGAGCCTTGTCCAGTCTTCAGCAAGTCGGCTATGTTCGTTTCTTTGTATTTTTAAGCTCAAAAGAGCTGAAACTGGTTATTTTTTTGAGTTTTAAAATGTAAAGGAAATATAAGGCTTCTTAATCTTCAAAAACTTTCTGGGAGGGCCAAAACGGAAATCAAGCTTTTTCTTCTTTTCAGGGTTCCGTAATCGCCAAGATTCGGTTAGCTTACAACGCCACGGGCGCTGTGGCGCGAAAGAAGCAGCTCAAAGAGCTTCAAATCGAGGAAACTGTGGCCAAGTGAGGGAACCTTTGACAACTTCAATTGTAGAAAATAATTATCTATAGAGAGCTCGAAGACCGTAGAAGGACGTGGGACGTCAACAACGGACAGTTCGAAAAGTTCAGCCAGTGGTATATTGACTATCGCAAGAACTTATGGCACAAGTTTGTTTTTCTGATCTTCATTTTCGATTCTGTTTTTATCAAATACCTCAATATCTAGCTAATCTTTTAAAAATGGAAAAAAGTCTACTCCAGATCATTTTTAAAAAAATGACCAGGGCAGAATTTCAGTGAGAAAAAGAATAATCCATTTATGGACCTTTGTTGAGGCTTTTACCTTATTTTTTTTTCTAAATAAACGAAATAATTGGTTTAAAAAAATAATCTAACATTTTTGTTAATTTTAGGCCAATATTATGGTTTTTTTCTTGAGAAAAAAATTATATCAATAAAAAAATTTTTATTGAAAAAAACTATTCACTACGCCGTGGCTTGGCCGAGTACGCAAAAAGTTTCATTTATTCACTTTTACAAATGAAAACAGTTTAGTTACCTAAGCCGTCAGGATTTGTTGTGAAAAAAAAAAACCGAAATTACGATTTTTTTTTTTTTGAAAAAAAGCTTAGTTTTTTTGGCCTATTCAATTCAAAGGGGTTTTCCAAGAGGAAAAAAAATCAGATCCAACAAAATTTTTATCAAAAATGCCTTAAGGGACCACTAATTACCCTGATTACGCTACGAAAAAAATATTAGTTCTCAAAATTATGAATTGAATATTTAAATTCAAGAAAATTTCATCAACATCTTCTTCAGAGACGACTACCTGCCGTGGCTGCTTTACGAGAACGAAATTTCCTGCTTGAAGCTCACTTTCGACGTTTGCGAAAGGCCTCCGCGACGGGTCACCTACGGCGGCAGGACGCGTTTCACCTGCGAAAAATTGAGAAAAAGCCCAATAATATTTTTACATTTTTCTTCTTCTTTTTTATCAAAGCGCTTTCCCGCACATTAGCACAGTTCTATGCAAAAATTGCCTTGTTTTCATAACAAATTTTCAAAAAGCAAGCTGTAACTATAAGCGCTTGATAATGCTTCATTTTTTTTCTCTTCTTCTTCTTTTTCTGTACAATTTATTTTCGGCGAATTTGATCTCAACACCGTCAGTTAGCCTAAGAAACACTACCGAACGTTTGAAACCGATATGAACGAATAAATTGTTGATAAACTTTTATTTTCTGTTTTTCTGGAATGATGAGCCATGAGTTTGAGTAACAATAGTGAAAGGCCTATTTTTGAATAATTATTCGTGTTGATTTCTTTCGAAGTTGTTACAGGCAATTTAAATTTTTGGGAAAACCTCCGAACTTTTAGAAAAATTTTTTTCTTCTTTGGTTCTTATTCTTTCTGTTAAAATGAACACTGAAACTTTTAAACCACAATTTAGAAAAATCAAGATTTTGAAGTCCCATCTTCTACTCATTAAAACACATAATATTCCATAAAGGAAAAAAATAAAAAAATAGAAAAATTCACGAAAAAAACTGATTTGGAAATCGTTTATAAGAGTGAAATTTTGTACTATCTTCCATTACCCTACTATTGAAATTTTAAATTTGAGCCATAATTCTTTAAAAACAAGATTCTCGAGTATCAAAGTTCGACCCATTGAACTATACATTAAATTTTGAAGAAGAAAGAAGAGCAAATTCACTGAGATTAAAGTCGTTTGTACTATCTTCTTATTCTTTCTGTTAAATTTGAAACCTAAAACCGTAATTATTCAAAAATCAAGATCCTCCAGTCCCATCATAAACCCATCAAACTGTACAATATATTTCAGGAAGGAAAAAAAAGAACATCACGAAAAAGTTTCTTTGGAAGTCATTTATATGGGTGGATCAAAGGCGCCTCGGGACCTGAGATTGGCCATTTCATTGGCCGCCTGCCGTCGGCCGAGCTTCTCCGCGCGTTGCTCCAGCTCCTTTTCCCGAGTTTTCCGAAGTCTCGACAGGGCTTGACGATTTCGAAGCATCGCCTTTTCGTTGTCTTCTCGGGTGGCCGTGCGACGGCGCGATTTTTTCTGAATTTCGGTAAACGTTTATTTACATTTTTCTTGCAAAGTAAGTGCAAACGGTTGAGAGCTGAGAACTGGATGGAAGTTTGAAGATATGCACCTCAGAACTTGATGAGTAAGGACCAGTTGATATTAAGTATAAAATTGATTAATCAGTACTAAAGCATGCTTCGCCATTAGAATGTCAAACTATTTCCCTTTTTTCAGTTTTTTAAGACCTTTCAGCAGAGTTTACTCGAGTTCGCGACGCTTGTCAAAGAAAAACTATGAAACAGGGACAGAAAATAAGAAACGAAGAGAAATTTCGAAAATAAATTACAAAATCAGTTGAACATATTCAAGAAAAACGCAAAGGACATTAATCTCAATACGTTAGCGTCGATTAAAAAAAATTCTCTTTATTTCTGAAAGAAAGTATTTTTGAAAGCTTAAATAAAAAAATCCTGAACGATTTTTGAGCCATCAACTAAAAAAAGAAAAAAATATGAGAATAAAATGAAAAATTTTCCATTAAAAAAAGTCTTAAAAAAATAGAATAAGTAATGATAAAACCGAGAACCTAGAAAAAAAGCTTCAATAATCCAAGAAAAAAAGAAGAAAAAACCAAAAAAAGTTTAACAAACCTTGGAACTTCTGGAAATCGAGGAAGATGTCCTGGAGCTCATGCTTCGCCCTTAAAGAAAAAAAGTTCAATCTAATTTTATTCCTTCTGAAATTACTCGACAACTGCCTTGGTGTGATGTCCCCATTGATAATCATATCGCTGACAATATCTTGAACTTCGGCATCAACGTGAATCCTTGAACAGTACGGTTAAACCAAAACATTCGCAAAATATAGTGAAAAACCTAATTTCCGTTAAAACTTCTTCCTGCTTTTGCCTGACATTTTCTCGAGTTATCCGCGCATGCTCACTGGCTTGTTGTCTGACCTCAAACAAGGCTTTTTTCGACAATATTAAAAAAATTCCATTTAAAACCTGCTGCAGTCTCGCTATTCTTCGCCGTTGCCTTTCCTTCCTTATAAGTTCTTCACGTTGTCGGTCAGTGAGTGGTGGCATATATTGTTAGTGAAACTGAATTAAAATAAAGTTAATAAAAGTTTGAAAGTCACGTGAACGTGGAAAAAAAAGGAAAATTTTTGAAAATTTTTATTTGGCGCGTCATGTGGAAAACAGCCTCGGTGTTTGCAGAAACGAGGGTTACAGACTGGAGAATTGTAGATGTTCGCGAGTTGTGAATTTGAGCTTTTTTTCTGAATGGTTAGGAAACTTCATGAAGTTTTTTTGGTAATTAGTTTTGTCGAGCTTAATTTAAGAAATTTGAAAATTAAACACAAGAACAATGGAAAAGTTTGAGAAGCATCTATGTAATACTACTTTGATTATTTGTAACGAAACAAATAATTTGTTTTTTATGCCTTCTGATTCCTCGCACTTGGCTTTCCAATTCAGGAAATTGCATCAATCGCGCAGGAATCCATTCTTTTGAGGACTGCGCGGTGAACTTTCAGTTTTTTCTCCCTTTTATCTTCGCGGCGATTTCAGTTTTTCGGCGTTCATGTCCCAGTTTCGTTTTTGCACTCGATGAGAGATATTAGAATGTTTTATTGTGGATTTCGGTTCAAACACCCTAGCTGGGCGACAGGAAGAAGAAGAAGATGACGAAGAAGACGTTGAGGAGCATCTTCTTAATATCCTGGCGGCGTTCGTGGAATTGGGCAGTGCTCGCAGCCTCCGGGCTCTCCTGGAGCTCCTTGCTTGCCCTGAAAAGAGAGGAATGGTCATACGTAATCTGGATTCCTTGTTTTTCCTATAAATTTACTTCAAAAGACTATAAAGATCAGAGAGGGACCCCTTCTTTTGCGAAAACTCAGTTTCTAGAAAGATAAAGATACCTCTGGTCCCTGAGGTCCTTGCTGTCCTTGAGGTCCTGGTCGTCCGGCGTCTCCAGGTGGTCCACGAGGTCCTTCCTGATTGCCGCCGTCGAGTCCAGCCTCTCCGCGTGGGCCTGGAGGTCCGCGGATTCCCTTGTGTCCGGGAAGACCGGCAGGTCCGTTGATCTGGTTGACGCGGCCGGGCGCTCCCTTGGGTCCGCTGACACCTTGACGGCCAGGCTGTCCCATCATTCCTTGTGGTCCGAGCATGCCGAGGTCTCCTGGCTTGCCGTCCTTGCCGTTCTCGCCGTTGCCGCCCTTTGGTCCTTGTGGTCCTTTTCCGCCGCTCATTCCTTGGGGTCCTGGTGGTCCAGGTGGGCAGATGATGCATGGCTCGCTGGCGATCGCAGACTCCAACAAGTTGCCGTCCTTTCCGTTGTTTCCATCGTTTCCGCTGCCTCCGTCCTCTCCGCTTGGTCCGTCGTCTCCAGGTGGGCCAGGTGGTCCAGCAGGTCCTAGAAATGTTCAGATGAGTTTCTTCTTTGGAACTGTTGCAGTTTACCTTGCTGGCATCCGCAGCAGGTTGGAGCTGGATCAGCGTTAGTGACTGGAGCTCCGTAGCCTCCGCTGCCGCCAGATGGATAGGCGGCCGGCTGTGGCGAGGAACCGTACTGACGCTTGGCGCGAGCGAACTGAGGTGAGTCCAGGTGATGGATCTCAGCCCACATGTCGCGAGCTCGTGTCTGAAAAGAGGTCCTTGAGAAATTAAAAAATAAGCTGCAAAGAGTACAATTTTATGTATTGCTGGCTTTTGATATGCTGAATTTTCTTCTCTGAAGGCTTCAAACTGTCATAATTTTTCATGCTCGTTGTTAACAAAGGTTCGGTGAATGCTAAATGTCACAGAAAAGTGTGTCTGAGCCTAAAAAGGTAAGGGAAACCTTGCAGAAGTCGGTCTCGATGATGAGATGCGACTGGAAGTTGGCGACGTAGGAGTAGAGCATTGGCAGGGTGACGACGGCGGCGATCACCGCCACCGTGCTCACGACGATCGCGAAGAACGCGACGCGACGGAGCTCCTTGTGCTCCGTGGACTCCAGCTGCATCTCCTGGAAGAATCGAAGGGATGAAACAATGATAGAGAGAGAGGAGGAAAGGAATGGGATCTCGGAGCGAATGAGGTGGACTTGGACTGAAAAAGAATTGTGACGGACGGTCGCCTCGAAGACTGCCTAAGGACAAGTGGCCGCTTTTATACGGTGACCCTCTCGCTCGCGGACGTGTTAGGGTCTCTGCGGCGGCGATCCGCCTGCGCCTGATGCTTCTTCGATACCGGATAGGCGGGAGTCTGGATCCTGCCAATGGAGCAAGTCAGCTGGTCAACAGGGACCTTGTCTGTTAGAGGGAAATTCAGTTAGACTTTCTGCGTTTTAAAAGTTTTTATGTTTACTTCAAGCAGAAATATTGGATTTTCAGTCAAAAAAATAATTCAATTGAACCGTTTTTTTTGACAAAGAAAGTCATTCAACTTTGAGGTTGGGTTTTTTTCTGAAAAATTGGCTAAAACGCTTCTTGACGTACCAGAAGGTTCGGAAAGTTTCAACCTGCACATTTTTCTCGTTTTTGGGAAAAACAACGCCTGAAAGTCAAAGAAAACCCTCAGAACCCATAAAAATAGACTATTTTCGAGCTTCAAGTCTTCATTTCTTGAAAACTGAGAAGTTGCGCAAGTTTATATTTTCAGAATCTTTATCTGCCCCATCAAGTTCTGGTCAAAATTTAGGGAATTCCCAACCGCAAAGTTAAATGACCTCCCTTGTGAGGTAAAAATTGTGATATCTTGTGGAAATTTTTTTTTCGCTGGACAGCTTTAATGGAGCATTCACATATGATCCTCTTTTTCAAAAACTGGCTAAGTCAAAAAAAAAAAACTTATTGAGAGTTTTCGAGTTTTATAAAGAATGCGTGATTGAACCAGTTCAGGAGGGTTCAACTAGAAAAAAAAAATTGAAAAAATGAAGATTTTTACTTAAGGAAGGTAGTGTTCACAAAAATAAAAATCAATTCTAAGTAGCAATGGTATTACTTCAAAAACTTGAATAATAATAATCATATTAATCATAATAATAGTTTGCATAGCGGCATGAAAGAATAGTCTGCCCATATATGTTATAAAGTTTCTGGCCTTTTCCTACAGCAAAAATCAATTAGATTTTATTCGCCATAGAAAATTTCAGCTTCTAGTAGACATCCTGAAAAGAACTTGAACAAAAACCCTGAAAACTGATCAGAATACTTCTCGAAGTATCGGATGAGGATTCTGAAAGTCTCAATCCATAGAAATACTCATTTTTTGTGGAAGGACAATTCAAACCCGGAGAAAACAAACAAGAATCTTTAAAATAGGTCTTTTTTTAGGAATTTTAGTACTTATTTCTCATAAAATAGGAAATTCTGCAGGTTGAGACTTTCAGAATCTTCTGGTACATCAAGGAGGGTTTCGGTACAATTTCAGAAAAATCCCAACCAAAAAGACCTTTTTCTTTCTAGATTTTCCGTACCTACAAATGCAATTATTTTCAGAGTTATTTTCTAACTTTTATTTTTTTCTTTTTATCTTTCTTTGCTACTTTAAAATGTAGCATTGAATTTCAGACATTCCGATCCTAATCAATAGAGCTTACAAATTACCATTTTAAAAGGAAGTTTCCAAACCTTCTTAGAAACGCCTCAAAAAAGAGCGTAAAAGTTGAGTTTCATGCAGATTAGCGCTTTGTTTTCCCTTTGTTTTTTGTTTTGTAGGAGGACGTTCCGAGGATGAACTCCCTCTCTCTTTTCGGTATGGATTTTTTAAACCGCGTCTGATTTCTTCACACCAAGGTTTGTTTTTTTTTTTTGGAATGCGCTTTTCGAAAGTTGAATTTTGCATAAACCAACATTTTTCCCAGGTCAGGGAAATATCAGTTTGAACTCAAATATGATCACTTATTTAACATTTGAAATCACTATTGACTATGAAAATTTCGGCATCGGACCGTGAAGAAAAAAGAGAGAAATTGAAAAAAGATCAATCTTCAACCTCTCGTCCTTGAGCGGGTCATGGTTTTTCGTTCCATAACTTTTTTTTCGTGGGTGTCGATGATAAAATGACGTCATTTTCCTTTAATAAAATGTACTTTTTATTCAAAAAAAGGCTTCGCAGTCAGTTTCAGACAAATTTCTCATTTTTTTGATTTGTAGTTTTTTTGATGACGCCGATTTCTCTTGTTTTATATCATTTTTCAAAAAGAATTTGTTTGCATTTGTAATCGACGAAATTTTCTTCATGATCTTTTGTTTATAAATCAATCATTTTTGGGAAGAAAAAAAGAATGATCAAAAGTTTTCGCACAAAAAAATTTCATTTTTTTCTTCGAGAGTAACCATTTTTTTCCAAAAAGTTACCTATTCTTACTAAAGTTCAACATTTTTCTTCCAATTATGCTTCTTCCAGTTTTTTTAAAAATATATTTTTTTCTCTTTATGAACAAAAATATGATACAAAAAAACTATTTTAAATGTTCTTTACAAATTCTCAAAATTTGCAATCTTTTTTTCTAATTTTATTAGTACTAAAAAAATTGCTATTTGGTCTTATCACGTTTCCAGAACGAAAAAAAGAAAAAAAGTTAATTTCTATAAGTTTCAAAAAAATTTCTTGTGCTTTCAACTCCATAATTTTTTTAACTTGACTTATTTTTAAAAATTCAAAAAAATTGAAAAAGTATGCTGCAGCCAAAGGAAGACGAACTTATTTGATTGAGCAATTTTTTTCTTTTATTGATTGAAAATGATTATATTTTGGAGTGTATAGAATCGCTCGATCCATTACTTAAGAAACGTAACCGACCTAAAACGACTTGCGCGCAGGACCAACGAAAAAATTTTTGTTCGCAACTTTTGAACCATCTCACACGACTAGAACGCTTCAAGTAGCGAGGAATGAAATTTTTCTTGATAAAAAAAAACCTTTTTGAATAGAAATAAATTTATTTCAACTTTAACTAACACTACCAAACTCGCTATCTCAAAAAAATTCGAATTTTTACATCTTCACTCGAACATTCCCAAGAATTGGTCTTTGATGCTTTCCTACTTTACCTCACCATCAGCTTCCAAAAAGTACTATCATTTCATGGGTAGCCATGAATTATATGGTCAAAATGACGCACAAAAGCCTTGATTTCACTTTTCCGTGCTGGAAAGTGACGTCGCCGCCTAGAATTCTGGAAATAGCAATATAGACGACGCGATTATTGGTGGAAAAGCTTATCAAGACGCTTGATCGCAAAACATTTGTCTCAGTCTTCCACTTAAGTTACCTTTTAACCTGTCTTTGCCCAACCCGATTATCTACTAACCCATCTATTTCGCTCCCAATTTTTTTGGGCGTATTTTGTTGCATATTTCTAATTTCTGACGCAATATTTTTGTTGAAAAGAATCGATTCGGGGTTTCCAAACGAATTTCGACCTTATTACCATAATCCGGTGCGTTGTCCTCATGGACATCATACATTACTCTCCGATTTTTTGTGCCGTTCTTTTGCTCACTTTGTTTTTTTCTCAAATCCTACACTTTGAAAAACATAAAACTTTCATATTTTTATTGAAAAATTTTTGAAGCTTAAGGTCACTATCAAAAAGTTGAATTCCATAATTTTTTTACAAAAATTGATAAGATTTTTGAATCTAGAAAAAAATTTTTCGCTTGAAGATGTGCTGATTTGATACTTTTTCACACGCTTAAAAAAATAAAAAAAGTTAGTTTTTTTGTTTTTTTCCTCTGATTCTTATCATCAAACTGGATTCAACTTCGACCAAGAAAAAATGGCAAAAATGAATTCCATTGAGAGGATTCGAACTTTCGACCTATCCAGCACAGTGTAAAGGCTCCACTTTACTACACTTCTAATTGAAACTTCCCCAGTAGAATTCTCAGAACCCTAAAAGCGAAAATAGGAGACCAATAATAGCCTGAAGAGACGCCAGAGAAAGAAGAGTGCTCTAAAATCTCTGGCGTCTCTTCAAATTGCTGTTGAACTCTCTTTTCCGTTTGTTTCAGCACTATCATGTTTTTGTCTGTCATTTTGTATTACTAAATGAATTCCACTTGTTATATAGTGCATTTGCTCAAGAAATCCCCATTTTCTGTTTTTTAAAACCTTCGAAACTCGCAAAAAAGTGAATTTTCAACTTTCAGACGTACGAATGACTGTAACATATTCGTTAGACGTAGCTTCATCATCCTTTTTCTGCTTGTACAAGCTTCTTTTCCGCTGGAAGGTAATTGGTTTTTTTTTTTTGAATGATTCAGCTTGGCCTGTCTGCGCTCTCCATTAACCATGCACTATTTTTATTCAAATCGTGTCAGGACCCTTTTCGATAATTCAAGCCCGTCATTTCTCAGCTTTTTAAAGAAATAAGAAAAAAATGAAAAAAAAATGAATGAATAACTTCTGAGTACGGATCTTGTACTCCATCTCTACCGTATAGTTAAAATTAAAAAAAAAACTATAGTGATAAAATTTGCAAAAAAATTAATAATCTTAAGGGTTCGATATGGAAATCGATCTACACGGAGCTCTTGCTTTGGTGTGTCTTGTATGGGATTTTGAGCGTCATTTACAGGCTTTTCCTCAGTAAACCTCATCGCGAGTAAGTTTTCCTCTAGTTTATCCAGTAAAAACCGAGATTTTCAGAATCTTTGAAGATATCTGTGTATTTTTCGACACCTACTCGGGCTTTATTCCGATCACATTCATGTTGGGTTTCTACGTGACGGCGGTTTTCAATCGTTGGTGGCAAATTTTCGAGAACATTGGATGGATCGATACGTCAGTTACTTTTCTGGAACAAAACATGGAAAAAAATCCATTCGACTTCAAAGTACCCACGGTCTGAAGTTTACAGAAAAGTATAAATTTTTATAAAAATTCTCAAAACTCGTCGAGGATGAAAAATTCCTCCAAATCATACCTCAACTGTTTTTTTGTGTTCAATGGCAAACATTGAAAAGATATTCAAATAATCCTACATAGGCAAAGTCAGAAGGACCCTTTACAAGCCCTTTGAGGATGTGTTATGAATCAAAAATTTTCCATTACTTGTTCCTAAACGGGTGGCAACGGTTTACTTTTTACTGCCTTTTTCTGTCCTTTCATCGGCCTTTATCCACCCTTTTTGGACCCTTTTGAGAAACGAAAAGTTTTTAAATTGAGAATAAACTTTACCAGGGACTTTGTATGAACCAAAATGTGCTACAGTAATAAAATCGGGAAATCATCAATGGCCGAGACTTTTCAGAATCCTTTTTGCACCTTCACCTCTCTTCACCCTTTGTTAAGGCTTTTCAGCCCTTCAAGAAAGAAAGGCTCAATAAAGGCCGCAAAACGGAACCCTTTTAGCGGCCATTTTGCAGTCACACTCGTTTTCCGCACTTCCCACTTTGACATTGCTAATTGAAAAACGCTCAAAGTATCTCCCAATCTGTTTTCAGGAAAATTATTTGCTTCTAAATTTTAAGTTTGAGTCGGTAAAGGTAGTCGTAGAGGGTGAAGACGAAAAATCTCAGATTCGAAAGAAAAGTCCGAAAAAAGTTTAATTGATATTTTTCGAGACACGTAATTAAAAGTGACATTGTAAAGTTAGAAGTAATCAGGAATTTTTTTTTGACAAACTCTTCGGTTCTGAAATCAATCTAAAAACTATTTTTTCTTTATAAGCTCAGTGGAAAAACGTACACGCCGCGGGGAAATAAAACGTAAACGCGGCTCTTTTTTAAAATTAAAGGCATGAGTGCAACGCCATGTTGCAGATCGTCACATTGAATATTTAAAAAATTTTTTTAATTTATCAAAAGTTCCAGAAAAACTAGACAGCGGAGGAACGGTGTACACAAAGTTACATACCGTAATCTATTTTTCACCAAAATTTCATGACCAATTATTTCAGCTTTCTGTCCTCCTTGAAAGCTTTCACAACCTTGTTTCTGTAGGAAAAAAATTTTCGGGACAAAAATGATAATTTTTTGTCAATGGAGCAATTTCGCGCGGGAACCCAGCTCATTTTTGCTTGAATCAGTTTTTATCAAAACGTATAGTTTAAAGTAAAGTTTTGACACAAAAGAACATGTACAAGGTGGCAAAATAATTTCAAGCCTTCAGATTTTCCATTTTTTTTATGGATGAAGTTCATTTCGATTTTTCTACAAGTACCCTATAGCTCACCAGCAAATTTTGAGAAAAATGAAAAATTCAAGACCTTGCTTGTGGATCGCGCAGTACATCAACGGGACGTCGGAACGGGCCCGGATGATTCGCCGAAACTGCATCCGCTACTGCATTTTGACGCAGGCGATGGTGTTTCGGGACGTCGCCGCCAGCGTCCGAAAACGTTTCCCAACCTTTAATCATCTCGTTACGGCAGGTAAGAACTCAATTATGATGAATTAAGAAAAGCTTCAAAGCAATCAGATTTTCATTCGGTGGTTGGAAATGTCTTTGAAATTAGCCAGATCAATCCGGAAAGCCTCAATTTACAACTTCTAGTTTTCGATAGCTGAGAGCTCAAAGTATGAATTTTTCGAATTTTGAATGCCCCTAACTTCTTTCACAGACCCCATGGGCAAGTTTCGAGGACAGATTTGGAATCAGTGTTAAAAATTACATCTGATGAACATGGTCTCTTCCAGAAGTCCCCCTGTAAGCTGAGACCGTTCCCACAGTGGGAACGGACATTTTTAGACGGACTTGGATGGTTTTTCCAAATCTCGAGTCCCGAAAAGTAGGAAGTTATCAAAGTTGAGGCATTCAGAATTTTCATCTGGTATATCAAGCTCTAATCTGTTAAAAATTTATGAATCCTCGACCCCAAAGTAAAATAACCTTCCTTCCTAATTTCTTAACCCTCTTTTATTGATTGATTTGCCTATCGTTTACTGTAATTTCCATTAATGTAATAAACTGTGAATATTAAGGTTTAATGACGGAGAACGAGATGAAGGAGTTCGACTCGATCAAGAGTCCTCACGCCAAGTACTGGCAGCCGATGCATTGGCTCTTCTCCTTGGTCAAGTTGGCCAAGGACGAGGGCATGATCAGCAGCGACTACATCTACATCGACCTCATGGAGGTTGAGTATCCTTTTTAGAGTTTTAATGACAAGTCATTGCTCAAACTCCGCCCCTTATGCGTAGATCAAACCAATCAGAGAGTGAGCCAACCACAGAGCGTTCTTGGGGGCGGAGTTTGCTGTTTGACATCCAAAATCTGAACAGACTATAATCCATAATTCAGTAGATATGGGCCTTTTTGGTAGAAAGCATTCAGTCAACACTTCTGCCAATTTTGAAGTATACCGGCTACCCGGCTTTTGTTAAATCTTCCAAGAACACTTTCCAAGTACCTACTGATCACCTTCTAAAGACATTTTAAGCTTCCAATTACCTTCCAAACTACTTCCGGTTACCTTCCCAATAATTCCGCGGATTCCTCTGAAACACTACTAAAGTTCCCCATTCAGAAGCTCCGTCAATTCCGTGTCAATATTCTCAGTTTGACACTCTACGACTGGGTGCCAGTTCCTCTCGTCTACACCCAAGTCGTTCATCTCGGAGTTCGGAGTTACTTTGCCATCGCTCTTCTCGGCCGACAGTATTTGAACCCGACCAGAGACCTCGGCGTCCATAAAACAGTAAGTCTAGAAACTTCAACTCTTGTTGGAAGCTGGTTTTCAGATCGACCTCTACATCCCGATAATGTCCATTTTACAAATGATCTTCTTCGTTGGATGGATGAAGGTAATAACTGATTATTTATGCCGTAAAACCTTAGTAAACTCATTTTTTCACGCTGATTTCAAAAATATTCTCGAAAGTCCCCGCGAAAGTCTTTGAACAAAGTTATGGCCACTCGAGTTTTGAAAAAAAGTAGCCATCAAACCAATATACGCATTGATTCTTTCGGAACGTAAGCTCTTTTAAAAAATCCCATCTTGGCTCTATTTTTGTTTATATAAGTTCTATTCAACTTTCGAAATGTATTTGACAATGTTACGAGCTCTCAAAATCAAAAAAAAAAAACGAGCCAAAACGGCCAAGGCTCTCTCGTTGTCTTTTGACGGTGACACAATTTGAAAAATCCAACTTTTGCACGAATATTTCGAAAAAACAGAATATGAGGTTTTTCTCGATCACTGAGGCCTGTTCTATCTATTGGATATAGAAAAATGATCTGAATTGAAAAGAGTGATTTTTTTTTTTCAAATTTCAGCTTCCTTAACTTTACACAGATCTTCTCGGCAATTCAGAAAAAATATATTCCGAACCAGAGTAAAAACTGCATTTAGTAGTATTATTCTAAGGCCCCATTACTTGAATTCCTGATTAGACTCCCGCACTGAACCTTTTCCCGAAAATTCAGGTCGCCGAAGTGCTTTTGAACCCGTTGGGAGAAGACGACGATGATTTCGAGTGTAATTGGGTTCTCGACAGAAACCTTCAAGTATCCTCAAAATCCAAAGCTTTTTTTAAAAATATTTTTCTGTTCAGGTCGGTCTGATGGTGGTGGACACCGCGTACAGCAAGTATCCGAACCTGGAAAAAGACACTTTCTGGGAAGATTTGCTTCCGGAGCCGCTATACACGGCAGAAAGTGCGATGCGACCTCTCAATCCGCAAGTTGGAAGCTGTGCCGATATGTTAGAAACATGATCATTGTTTCTGGACTGGTGGTTGAGGTTTTCAGGCCAACTGAAGAGGAGAACTTCATGTTGCGTCCACGGCGACGTACGATTTCTCGATCGTCGCGGTGGGACGAAAACGTCGAAGATGCCGACGTCGTGCCGGTTTACAACCTTCGGAAACTCAAGGATGGAAGGTAATGGTCCTTAGAAACTTTAAGAAAAAAAAATGTTAGAGTTAAAAGTAACTTGTCTAGAAAATTTGGAATTTTTGAGATACAGTACTCAGGTAAAAGTTGGGAAGCTTCTGCTTTCGGTTCCTCGGAAGGCGTTTGGAAGCTTTCTAGAAAGTTTTCTAACGCCATCCACGTGGCTTCCCATCACCTTCTACTTAGAAAAAAGTCTGACGGAAGCCTTCCAGAAGAATTCAGCAGGCTTCTGGAATGCTTCTGGCAGGCGTTTTCCATTTCCCCTTTCCAAATACCTTCCAACTAGGACCTTCTAGCTTCCATACACCTGTCAACCACCTGCTGGTTTCCTTCCCAACACCTTCCCAGGATTCGCTTGAGATAAAAGTCTCTCCAAGTTATTGAAAACAAGCCTCAAAAACCTTCAACTTTAAAACTTATTGATCTCTGTGAAAAGCTTACTTATATTTTGTTTGAAGCTCATTCCATCTTTGGTCAATTTTCTGAACTTTTTTTTTCCGGAAAATAAGATGTCGAGATTTTCAGAGAAGTCAAGAGTCAAAAAATCCAAAAATCAAAGATTCAACCGAACCAGGAAAACTTCAACTCACACTCAAATAGCCACTCCAGGCATTATTTTCCAGCAACTATGCTTCCGGAGAGTCACTCGCCTTCTCGCAGACCTTCCAAAACGGGCAACGTCGTCTGAGCGAAATGTTCAAGCGAATGAGGACAGGCAGCCGGATCGGTTTGACTAAACTTTCTGTCATCAAAAACTCAGCCGATTCAGGCGATCACCAACGACGACCCAAGTACTCGTTGGACGCGGCGTTCAACGAGGAAGGCCTGCCGCCGCCGAACCACCTTTCCTCGGCCAAAAGCAGTTCGAACTCGTTGAATCGCTTCGGTGAGACGTTCCACAATCGTGTCGATTCGGCGCCGGAGCCAGAAGCTGCGGATCCGCCTCGGTTGTGGCATTCGATGCCGCAGACGTCGTTAGAAGAGCTGATGCGACAGAGAAACGTGCAAGGTTCTCGGAAGAACGAAGGAAATTCTAGTGTTCTGAGATTTCAGGTCCATTGAAATACCATGCCGATGGGATGAAGGAGCGCAGAGAATCTACCGACAGCAAACACGAACGAGATCAGAGCCCAGTGAGTCTTATTGTGCATCAAAATGGGTGTTCTGAAATAGTTCTCAGGCAAATTTCTGCAACCTCCTAAAGCTTATGATGTCCTTTGCTTTGAATGATATATTTGAAACTTTGCAGCATCCACCGAACAGTCCAATCTGGCAGGAATCACTGCCGGTCATCGAAGAAGAGGATCCTGAGAAACGTCGCAATCTCACAGACACAGGTTCATAAAAATTCCAGGAATTAAATCTGGATTCCTTGCAGAATCGCTGAAGAGCCACAGCGTGAAGTCGTCGACGGCTTCGACGCCAGGCGGGATTCCCAGACGACAATCGACGAAGGAAGAAGAGACGACGACGCCGCGGAAGAACACGCCGGACCGGCCTCGGAAGTGGTCGATGCAACGACAGTCGAGCCAACAACGACGAGACGACTCTTCGGACAGCTCTTCGGAAATGGAGAGCCGTCAGAAGAAGCCCAGCAACCGGAAACCCTCCTCACAACACTGATCGATTGACTTAGTTCGGGATAACTCGTCTCAATTTGTTTTACTTTTGAAAACCTGAACTTAGTCCACGAGTCTCACAAGAATGTTTTTCTCGATTTTGAAAAGATAGTTTTCCTTCTTTTAAATTGAACGCTGAACAATGAAAGTTTATTGTGGCGAGTTGTCCCAATTATGAAAGTTTTGGCAGGCCTCCAAACGGGTCATTTGCTACATTTTGTCATTTTGTTTTGATAAAAATTTCCACGAAAGAGTTAATAAATCTTTACTTTAAAAACTGTTACTGTAATTTAGTCATGAAATCCAAAAAAATTTCCCAATGAAAACGCTTCAGAATAAAAAAAAATAGATATTTTTGAAGCGATGATAATTATTGACATCAACAAAATCTGAAAATTCTCGAGAATCGATTATTTTTTTGACAAGTATTTTTTTAATTTAAAAAAACGGAAGTTTTAAAAATAACTGTGGTTTCAATGACAAGACATTCCATAGATTTAATGTGTAATTATTGAAAATATCTTTATTTTTCTATTCAGTTGTTAAAAAAATTTTTCCTATCTTCGAAAAACTTGAGAACTAAACATTCTGAAGTTCTTCCAAAAAAATCGCCATATCTCTATTCCGGTTATAAAAATGAAGAAAAGTGAAAGGCACTTTCATACGATCGGAAAAAAAACTAGAAAAAGTTAATCCTTTGAACTGACTGAAAAAGGCGCACAAAAATTTGCATTTTGTTCAACTGGCAAACTTTTTTATTTTTTGTCTCGTTTCTGTTTTTGAACTTTTGTGTTGTCTTCACTCGAGTTATAGAAGCTTCTGAGGAACCAATATTATGTTTTTTTTTAAATTAAATTAAAATAATCGACCTAAATCGCTTTTTGACTACTTTCTGACCGATTTTTCTGTATTTTGATAGAAAAAACAATTTTGAAGATTTTTGGTCTTCTTATTCCTATTTAACGGCTAGCAATGCAGTTCAAAAAAAATTTGAATTTAAAAAAATTCCAGCTCTCAAAAAATAAAAGAAAGTTCAAATCAAAAATGACGGTGACATACTCGTTGGACGTCGCGACGTCGACGTTCTTCACTCAAATGAAAGTGTTGTTTCGGTGGAAAGTGAGTTTTTATTTTTTAATTTCTTCGTCTAACTTTCTCGTTAAGGTAGTAAGAGATATAGAAAGCCAAAAAAATAATTTTTGCAAATAATTTTTTTCAAGCTTTAGACAATTGAAAAATGCAGTCCATTCATCACCAAGTTTCCAAAAATACTAAAAAAATTCAGCCATCCGATGGAGAATTTTTTCTGAATTGAAATTGAAATTCTCTCGCTAAAATTAGAATGGAAAAGATTTCAAGTTGAAAAAAAAAATTAAAATAATCTTATTCACACCACTGGTCAATAAAATCATAAAGTATTTAAAAATGAATTCGTAAAAAAGGGCCTAACTTTAAGAATCAATAAAAATTAGTGGTCCACATATTCAGGGCTCCGTTTGGAAAGCGGTCTGGATAGAGCTACTAGTCTGGCTGAGCATGTACTTTACCCTCAGCATCGCTTATCGAGTTTTCATGAGCAAAGCTCAGAGAGCGTCAGTTAAAAGGGAGACTCCTTTGTAAAAGTTTATGAGATCTTCAGGCAATTCGAAGAACTTTGCAAATTTCTCGACACCTTCTCCGCTTTTATTCCAGTCACTTTCATGCTCGGATTCTATGTCACTGCTGTTTATAATCGTTGGACCAACGTTTTTGCAAATGTTGGGTGGATCGATGCGTGAGTTCTTTTTATTAGAAAAACCTCAATTTATCTTACTGGAACTGAAAAAGACAGGCTTTTCTCAATTAAATTCTTCAAAACCAGCTCAACTAACCTGTTCAAGAGCGGCTCTGTCGGTGGCGCAGTACATCCGCAGTCCATGCGAAAAGGCCCGCAACATCCGGCGGAGCATCATCCGCTACTTGATCGTCGCGCAGACGTTGGTCTACCGCGACGTTTCTCCTGCCGTCCGTCGGCGGTTTCCCACACTTCGGCATCTTGTCACTTCTGGTGGGTCTTAAAGAAACTATTATTTCCCGACCATATTCACTAGGATCTTTCATCGCTAGATTTTTTAAAGTTTGTAAAAACTAGAAGCTTACGGAGATCCGTCTCTTCTCTCTCAGTTTCTTTTCCGATTCATCAGGAAAATTCGAAATTTTCATTAAACGAAACATTTCGTCAAGCTTTTGGAGGAAAAGCCTGCTTTCAGGCTTGTTGAGGGAAGACGAGTTGGCCGAGTTTGATTCTGTGGTCTCCCGTCCGGCCAAGTACTGGCAACCAGTTCAGTGGATATTCTGCTATATCAACATGGCTCGAGATGAAGGGTTCATCCGGGATAGCTATCTCTATATTGATCTCAATGCGGTTAGTTGAATTCAAGAAGAAAACCGAGGGCGGATCAAAAATTCAGCTTTGAGGGGAAAATTTACTCTGAGAAATTTTCTTTACTGCCTTCAAAAATGCTTCTACGAAGAAGGTCATTTTGAAATCCAAGTTTGGGACTTCATGAAAATTGGCCAGAACACCCCTTGGTATACAGTCCGTTTCCGTTTTTCACGACTTGAAAGGGCGGGAATTCTCTGCGCCCTCCTCGTCTCTCGGCGACCTCTCATGTTGACGCGCTGTTTCCATGTATCTCTGACCTCTCTGTTGAGGGAGCAGAGAGACGCAGACACTCGAAAACTGTCAAGTCGCGGCGGATGGACTATATCAAGAGAATATTTTGAAAGCCCTAACCTTGAAAATTTCTTAGTTTGAGCTCGAAGTTACGAATTATTCAACTTTTACAAAATTTGGTGGCTTTCTTTGAGTTTGAGGTAACGTTTTTTCAGCAGTTATGAAACTCTGCAGGTTGTGATTTCTAGGAATTTCTACAGGTCCATCAAAGAGTCTTCTTGATAATTTTCAAGAAATTTCAAAGCCAAGTGTGAAATGTGACTTTCCTTGTTGAGAAAAACTATTGAATTAACCACGGAAAAGTCGAAAAAGCTAAAATTTTGCACAGTCAATAAATCAATCAGTTGTAAAAATCTGTCATTCAATATTATCAAAATAAGGTTCCAGAAAATCGAGAAATTCCGCGGTCACCTTCTAGCTCTGGTGCAATTCGACTTTGTCCCAATGCCGCTCGTCTATACTCAAGTTAGTGAAAAATAGTTTTGAATATTTTTTCAAAAATGTATCTCTTTTTCTTCGAAAATCTACACAAAATTGATAAAAGAAGCTCCTTTTAGGTGGTCACTTTAGCGGTTCGAAGTTACTTTTTCATTGCGCTGTTTGGCCGTCAGTTTCTGGACCCGACCCGTAGCTCGGTGAATCATAATTATCAAATTATCGAATTTGTCTGAAAAATTAAACATTTCAGAGACCGATAGACCTCTACTTTCCGATTTTTTCAACTCTACAGATCATTTTTATTGTAGGCTGGTTAAAGGTAAAACATATTTAGAATTTTCTGGTTGCAAACGGTGAACTAAGGAAACAATTGTTTATTGTTTTTATCTCAGTCATTCCAAGTGCGGTCAGAAAATTCAAATCGAAAGGAAGTACAAGAAAAAAAAAATTAATTCAGGTGTCAGAAGTCATGCTCAACCCTCTTGGCGAGGACGATGAGGATTTCGAAACAAATTGGATAATCGACCGAAATATTCAGGTAATTTGAGGCTTGTGGTTCATAAAAGTTGTGAAAATTGCCCTAAAAAATGGGTTTTAAAATAAAAAAAACTAACAGAGAAATATATAAACAGTGAAATTTTAAAAAACCACACAAAGTCGTTCCAAAAATTGATAAAGTAGTCCATTATAAAAACATTAAAGTGACCTCTAGAAGAACATAACTTTAGTGAGCCCTTGAGTAGGTCGGAGAAAGTTATTCACCTATAAAAGTCGTAGTGTTCCCTATAGTGAAAAAAAAATCGTAACCTTTTAAAACTTCTTTTTTTTGCGAGCGTCTGTTCAAATTTTAGTTTAACAACCCTTCAACTCAGGCACTGGTGCGCGCACGCGCGGGGGTACTGATTCTTTTTTCCCTTTTCCACTGAAATACGGTTTTAAAAAATTTTTTATATTTTTGTGAAACTACCCAGTGCCCCTGCTCACTTTTAAAAGTTGTTCCGAGCATTTTCGAACAAATTTATGAAAAAAAATTGCCAAGTGAAACTTTGATATTTCATATTTTTGTGCAATCTAATTGTTATAAACTGGTGCAAAAGCAATGATAAGAGATGAATAGACATGAAAAAAATATTAAAAATTATAACTTTTCAATTAGTTAAAAAGCTAAAAAACAAGAGAGACACCCCGCGCGTGCGCGCAGCAGGCGGCGCGCATGCGCACTTTTGGCAACAAACACGCGCCGTCAGTGCCTGAGAAGTGGCCACTGAGCATCATAAAATATAGCGACCGATTCAAAAGCCCCTCGGAAAACTACTAGAATGACGACTACCGTTACAAGTTTACCTAGATTCTTCTTATTAGAATTATTTTCGCTTCTAGCTCTGGAAGAAAAGCCCTCGGAGGTTCTAAAATCAAAAGATAAATATCAGATCGGCTACGCTGCGGTAGATCAAGCCTACGACAAGTGTCCGAAATTGGCGCGCGACTCGTTTTGGGGCGAAGATCAGCCAGAGCCGCTGTACACGGCGGACGCGGCTGAACATCGAAACGCCAACTTCGAGGGGAGCTGTGCGGCAATGTGTGGATTTTATCATTTTATCATATCCTCAAAAAAATCCTCAGAAATCCTTATAACCAATAAATCAAAATTAATTTTAAAAAAATTCACAAAAATTTTTTTATTCTGTTAGATAGACTTTTTTTGAATTCGAGGCGGTTTTGAATGCCAATCAAAAAAAGAATTTGTATTTTTTTCTCATTTTTTTGAAGCTGAAGCTCGTTAAGATTGCACAAATACTGAAAAAGTCTTTTTTTATCAATAAAAAAATGTAGCGTGAGAATGTCGATTTTTTTGACCAAAATAAAAAAATTGAGGAAAAATTCGCATCAGTTCTGAATCTGCTTTCTTTTTATTAGTCGCCTGTGAAGTTGTTGAGAATTATATTTTCCATTGAAAAAAATAAAAAAATCTTTTTTTAGATTGCCACTCAAGAACTTCAGAGTAAAATTCCATAAAAACTCAATTTTTCAATGTTTTTCAACTCTGCTCGAACATCCACCTTGCTTCTTAGTATCTTGAAAATCAAAAAAAAGTTGTTCAGGAACTTCGATCCCGACGAGGGGATCTTTTCTCGGATTCGGCGGCGATCTCTAAGACCTTCCGACGCTGATTCTGTCGACACGGCTATCACAGTCCCTACAGTTCTCACGAAGACTTCCAAGTCTTGAAAAGCCTCTGAGATTCTAAAAAATGACGGAAAAAATTAAGAAGCTACAATCCGAGTGGAGAAAGGCTTCAGCTGGAGACGAAGGTCAAGCGACTTTCGGATGTGTTTGACAAGTTTATGGCGGAGCGAAGGAATAGTGTTTGTGGGTTTCGAATTCTTATCTCGCCATGTATTTTTCTTCAAATACTTAACATGGTAGGTCGTTTTACCATTCGGTTGGGGATTTTCTGATGATTGCTTCAAAAGCCCAAACCAACAAAGCTTGCTATTTTTCAAGAAAGAGGGGCTCAAAGTTTCAAAACAATTTTTGACGGATTTTGCCCGTTTCCTACGACTTTGAGGAGTCACTACTCGAAAACTAGGAAGTTTGGAAGGTTGAGAACTCCTGGATCTTCACCTAGTACATCAAGAAATAGTCTGGTCGACTTCCAGAAAATATTTCACCTGACTGTACTATGACCTTCTTGTTAGATTAGGCTTGGAAAATTTTTCAAAAAAGCTTTAATGTCCCCTAGCGTCAAGAGTAGTATAAAAATGAATGAAATTTGTGAAATTTTTCGAAATCTCGCTCAGTTCAATCGAGCTTCGGCTCAGTTAACCATTGCAACACACCAAAACTTCTACAAAAACTCCTATGGCAAAATTTTAAGGTCTCGCCGCTCTGGACTTGAATCGCCAACGGGAACCAAGTCCAGAAGCCGATGAAAAAGAAGAAGAAGTTCTGGATCTTCGTTTGAAAAAAGTGGAACCAGATTCTACACAAGTCGAAGAAGAGCAGAAAGAGGACAGTTCCAGGTACAAATTTAAGAAATTTTTTTGAAAAAAGGGTACAAAATAAATTGAAATATTTTCGTTATGTAAAAATAGCTTGTAATCTCTTCATTTTAGTCTCATAAAAGCAACGGTTTTTCCGAATCGCTTTTTTTCATTTTCGAGCCAGCAGTTAAAAATCTGATTTTTTGTTTCGCTCAAGGCCGAATCGGAAAATAAAGCTTGAGGCTCTTTTGTTTTGAATGAAAATGGTGAAATTCTACTTTTTTGAAGTTACTTATGAGTTGATAAAACGTTGTCCTCCCACGACGAATTTTTAAAAATTCTCAATTTTCTTCGTACCCGACATAAGAAAAAAACATTTAAACCGCGTATAAGCTTCACGAAGAATTGAAAAATCGTGTAAACTCACTTTCAAATTACTTTTAGGGAAAAGCCGAGGTCCTGGCGATCCTCAACAGCTCCATCAGTCGCTGTGGAAATTCCCGAGCCGAGTAATTCTGAAGAATCGAACCAATCAACAATTATATTACCACAAGGAACGCGAAAAACGGTACAAATCGAGAATTTCAGCTATTTCAATAATTTTTCAAGCCCGTGACTTGGTTCGTCGATGAAATGCCGACAATTGAGGAGGAAGAGCAACGGCGAAGGAGCTTCACAAAAGGTACAAAATTCTTGATTCGTGAAAAAAAAAATTATTTCAGGAATGGACAAAGACGGGAAAACGGGAAAAACCTCTCCTACTAAAAAAGACGATTGAAATTCATTTCTCTGTTTTCAAACAAATTTTACGGTTAATTTATGTGATTATTGAAATTTATGTTGAATTAGAACAAAGCTTCTTCTAACAAAACTAACAGCATGTCGAAAAAAATACTTATTTCTAAACTCATAGGTTCAAAATTCATTCAAAACAAGTTTCTTGGGTTTTCAAAGCCATAAAGATGGTTTGATATCTGAAATCGTTCTTTAAAATAACCAGTAAGCTTTAAAAAATCAAAATTGTAAAAAGCTATCCAGGAGTTGCAATTTTAAAAATTCGCGTCAAATAAAATGCTTTCGGTGCACGCACATAACGCACAAATACGTAACATTAATAAAGAAAATTCTCCTATATTTATAAACAAAAATTTATTTCAAATGCAATAAAAGTGAATTGATTTGGAAATGGAAGAGCAAAGGAACAAGAAAATTCAACAAGAATAAATAGTACAGAAATTAAAGCAATCACTGGTCGTCATTCATATCCAATTAAAACAATCGAGTTTGGTAGAAATGCTTCAACCGGTGAAAGAAAATGACGGTGGAAACGAGTCTAGCTAATCAACATAATCCGTAGTCAAAATTAAACTTCATCATATGAAGGTATAAGAAAAGCTTAAAAGGGCCCGGGAAGTCCGCAAAATTAGTTGAGAACCGGTAAGAGAATATTATAAAGAAATGTTATGATCAGGGTGAGTTCAGTGAAATGATTAAAGGTTGAGAAAGTGAGAAAGTAAAAGGTAGGGAATCGATTTGATGATCACTTAAGACGTCACTCCTTGGCGGGAACATTCTCGGTGCTGCTGCTCGATGACGTCACTCCCGAGTCTGGAGTCGGCGGCTGGCTTTCCTCGCGGAGCAGGTAGCCGAGCACGTCCGACAGCGAAATCGCTCCGATCACCTCAATTTTTTGGATTTTCCATCAATTTAGGTTTCTATTTTTTTTTCTCCTTTTTATTCCATTCAAACTTGGAGCCGTTCTTTAGCTTTTACATTGGAAGTTAATTTTTTGGGAGAAAAATATAAATATTTACCTTGTGGTCCTGAATAATGAAAGCGCAACGAGAGCGGCCCGAAAGAAGAGCGTCAAGGACGAAACCCGTGGTATCTGAAAAGTTCTTTATTATAATTATAGCCCGGTCGGCGCGGCTTGAAATTTTTCGAGTTTCTACGTTTCTATTCCCTCCCAAGGTCAGAGAAACACGAAGATAGCAAGTTATCATGAGAGCGTTGCCGAGAGAAAAGGAGGGCGCAGAGAAGCTCGAAAAAATGACAAAAGCATTCAATTTTGTGCGGGATGTGATATAAGTATATTTTAACTTCAAAAATCAAAGAAAGTATTTCGGCGCCTGAATAAACTCATACTTTTCATTTAAGTTTCAAATTTTGTACTCAATGGCTCACATGAGCAAAATGAAGTTGCTGCGCTCAAAAACAACAAGTTTCACTGAGTACTAAAGATGGGTTTTTTTTTATAAAGCTTCCTGCTCTAACCACTGCTTTGGCTATCCTTCTCACAGGTCTGAACAAGAAAAAAAACGAAGAAAAACCTTTTCCAGATACGAAGATATGGTTGTTGCAATGCTGTCGGATGTCTTCGACTTTGGTCGTCTCCATCCATTCCCTCGGATTGGAATGGTTCGCAGGGATCTGCGCAGCGATGTCGCGTTTCGTAATAACTCCAAGGGTCTGAATCAATTTTAAAATGCTTCAACTGCAATATTGGAAATACTGGTAACATTTTAAAATTGCCTAAAGTTCGTTCTCACTCAATTTTTGATGAGCACACCTTGTTCTGTTCGTCAACCACGGGCAGGACCGAGAAACGGTAGCCGAGCATTCCATCTACGGCCTGCATGATTGTCGCCGTTTTCGGGATCTGAAATCGAATTTATTCTTCAGAGTCACTCCACGGAAAGCCGATTACCGTTCGGATATTGTCCCAGGTGCCAATCGTGCTCTTGCCGATGGGTCGGCTCAGCCACTGGGCAAAGTGAAGAGAGCGATTCTGGAATTTTGTGAGATCGTCAGGAAAATTACATTAGAACATGTCGAAAGGTTAGGACGTCTATGAGAAAAAAAAGTTAATGTCTAGCAATTTTAAGAAATCGGGCCGGAAATGAATGGAAATTTTTATTTTATTTTTTTGAGGTTTTAAGACTTTCCAATGGAAAGCCTACACAAAACATAACAATATCAGTCTCGGTTTTGTAATGTTGGAAAATCGGGTTTTTTCAAGCACCCAAATTCCTTTCTCATAACTACTGTTCCTTTTTAAATTGATTTCTACTATTATTATTATCAAAACTATAAAATGAGCAATTTCATCGTCCAACTACCATACCTGCTTATGGATTGCAGTAAGAACGCGACGGTTCGTGAGGAAATAAAGAGCGTTTCCAGACTCGTCCTTCACCAGAAGCCTATGAACCTTGTTCGAGCGGATCACCTCACAAGCGTTCAGAATCCTGAGAAAAAAAGTTTTTTTTTGTTTTTCACTGAACAAGAAAAATCAAAGATCATCTAACTCTAATCATGAGCGGGAAAACGTGGAAATTCAAAATAAAAATAAATTGGTTGAAAATCGTAACATTTGCATGTCAGTTAGAAAAACTCAATTTTTCCTTTAATAAATAAAATTTTTAATTACAGGGTTATTTAACTTAAATTTATTGGGGAGTTTAAAAAGCGACCTCCAAAATCGTCTGCAAAGTCTACTACGAAATTTTTTTCGATCGCATCAAAATTCAAATTTTTGTTATTTCTATCCGTTCTGGGAACTGTCAACTTTCAAGGCTGTCCAAAAAGAGCCATAATACATGCTTTCCTTTTCCAAACTTCTTAAAACTTCAAAAAAGGAATTCTGAAACGAACTTATCAGTGGCGCAAACAGAAACGAGCTGATTGCCAGAGAGAATATCGCAGACGCGGAGATCCTCTTTCTCCTTCTTCTCGTCGTTTTCCGCAGTTTCCGACTTCTTCGCCTCGTTTTCCAATGCCTCCAGCGTCTTCTGTGGATCTTCGCGAAGGCAAACCAGAAGGTCGGTCAGCGTCAAGATTGACGACATCTGAACCAAGGAGAGTTGGAGCTGAACAACTTGCTCAGACTGACCACTTGTTCTTCGCTGTTCCAGACGAGCAAAGCGGCCAGGTTGAACTCCCGCATCACTTCGAATGCGTTGCGAACCTGGAAAAATATTGCAATATAAATCGTTGAGCCTCAAAAAAGAATAAAGAAAGCTAAGTGGCACCTAAAGTGATCAAAACACTGCGAATTTTTTTCTTTGAAACATTTTAATGTCTTTTTTCAATACGATAAAGTATTTTTGTGAATTTTTTCTCCAAAAGTTTTCCCACACCGTTAGTTGATACAAAAACCAACAGGAAGCTTGAAGTCGATGGCGATGACGCGGTTCATCGACGGACTCAACTCGTAGCAGTCCACCACCTTCATGTACTGACGGTACGGATCGCATTGGGCGTCTGCAAAAAAAGTTCTTTCAGGAAGTTTCTTATATATTGATTAAAAAATATAGTCTCACTAATAACTTCGATGAAAACCTACCGACAAGACCAACAACGTGAACAGAAAGAGGACGAGAAGTCTTGCGCAAAATCAGAAAATCGGAGCTGTTGCTTCGAGGTCGACGGAAGGCCGCCTACAAATTCAGAAACTAAGGTATTTATTGCAGTTTTGAAAAAACCTCATCATCGTAGAGATTTTTCTTCATGTCCCGGAGGTCATAGACCTGGTCAACGCTGCACTCGGCGACCTAGAAAATGAATGCTTTCTATAAATAATAAAAACCTTAAAAGATTGAAAATGAAGAAGTGTTCACTGAGAGGCCTAGTTATGCATGAAAACACCGGAAAAATAGAAATAAGAGAGCAGCGGCGGTCAGAAGAGACAGCAGAGAAGAAAAGCCACTCTGCCTCTCTGGCGTCTCTTCAAGCCGCCGCTGATCTCTATCTTCGTTTTTTACGCCTCAAATTTGGTTTTTGTGTGGATTTTAAGTTCAGAAACGAGCTTTCGATCCAAATTTGGATAATAAATCCCATTTTCCTTGTTATTCGCTCCAGTTTTTCAACAAAAAAGTCGGCCTAAAACTCAGAATACATTAAAAACAACAAATTACGCGGTTTGCTCAAAATCTTGAATAACTAGTTACAATGATTCTTTAAAATTTCCCCTCTCAATAACTAATTATTGTTAAATGTTTCGGATTCTCAATGAGCAAACTCCGAAAAAAATATGAAACTTCCGGACAATTTTTTGCTTGAAAAGCCAGAGTTAGATAAACTTTAAATCTTCAGAATTGTTCTCATTGATTACCTGAACGCGACGCATGACCTCAGCGCGTCGGAACATTTTCTCGCCGAGGCTTTCGCTGCGCGGACGGTGCAAAAGTCCACGAACGCCTGTAAACTTTATCTCATTTTATCAGACGATGAACGTTATTAATCAGCTCTTTTCTATAAAAAATAGCCCTCCTCTTTTATTTTTTTTTTTATGGATGAAACGCAGAGAGCCTTTGCGTGCAAAGCGGTTGCGATGCGTTTTGGCGTCAATTCCAAAAATATCGCATTATTAAACATTTTGGCGGGTATTTTATTTCGCAAAAACTATTTCTTGTATTTCGATACACATCAGAGTCCTTTGAAAAAAAATGCGAAAAACAAGAAAAAACGGCATTGAACGCTCTTTTTATATCTACTGAATGCGCATAATTCGACTCTTATCCCCGCGCCCCTATTGCAATAAACCGTGCCGCTCTTGCAGTCAGCCACGCCCATTGACCACGGCTGTCGCATATTTAGGAAGACTGTGAATTATAAAGAAAGGTTTTTAAATTGTAGAAAAAGAAGAAATTCCTTGTCAGACCTTACTGTAGCTAAAAATCATCAATTTTCTAAAAGAAAAATACCTCAAAAAAGCATTAAATCTTAACAAACCGTTGAGGAAGGACGGCGAGGTACGCTGCGAACTTCCCGAGTTGTTCCGCGCCCGCATGCCTGGCGATGTTTCTCTTGAGGAAGCTTCAAAAAAATGCAAATATTTACTCAAACGTCTCACATATTTTTTTTGTAAATTTTGAAGCTTTTTGGCGAAAAACAACAACGAAGAGTAAATAAAGAAAAAAATTTTTTTTTTTAATTTAAAAAAACTTCGCGAAATTACAGCCACTTCTTTCAAGGTTCCAAGGTAGGTACTGTCATTGTTTCATTCTAAAAACCCTATTTTTCTCATTTTATCTCATAAAACGTTGAATAATGCACTAAGCGGAACTTAGGAACTGCAGAGTGGTCCCTACAGGGGCAACCTTGGAGGGTCTCCTCTAGGAACCACTTTTGCCAACCCCTACGGGGACCTTTAACGCTTGAACAAGTGGCCCCTATAGGAGACATGCTAGTCGATAATTTTTCATGAATTCTGTGCAAAGAAGCATTTCTATACGAAAAAAATTAATTTAGTTAAATAAATCGGCGTTTTTTTGAATAAAATTGGAAGACCCCTATAGGGACCATTTGAGCTTTAAGGACTGAGAGGTCCGACCCTGAACCCCTATAAGGGCCACCTGAATTTCACCCCTACAGATATCATTTTTTCGTCCCCTATATGAGCCTTTTTCTTCCTAACCCCTCTAGGAACCACTCTAGAATTCGAAAAATTCTCCATCCCAGGCCCAAAGTACTGTAGGACAAGAAAAAAAAGAGAAAAAAGCAAGAATTGAGTTGGATAAAGGATGGTGTGCCATTTCGAATGATGTGTTCCTCGACGGTTTTTTTTCTCGATTTCCGAAAGGGGGCGTGGCATTTTCTGAGCAACGCCGGGACAAAAATAACACAACAAAAATCGCGTCGCGCGTGATTCTAAAAGAAGGTTTTTATTATTAGCTTTTTTGTTTTTATTACAATAAAATGGCCCTCGGGGAAAATGAAAAAATAAATCTGAGTTGGTGAGAAGCCACTCAAGGGAAAATCTTAGAAAAAAATTTGAGGCTTTTAGAAGACGTTTGAATCGCAGTTTAGAGAGGCTCTCAATTGAGTGGTCACTTCAGGTTTCTTCAGATTGTGAATGTTCTGAGACCTCTTAAGAGTCCACTCTGACATTTGGAATTCTATAAAAGCCTCGCTAACTTCCTCTGGATGGTTACTGAAAAAAAAAATTGAAAATAAGAATAGGAAATTTAGCACTTTTCAATTACTATAAGAGGTTATAAAAGAATAAAGAACCGAAAAGTCGTGAAAAGCTCAAAATAACTATCCAATTTTGATGAATTATCTTGAGAATTGTCAGTATAAAGTTTTGAAGACTAGAAAAATAGTTTATTTGGAATTTATAATATTCAAAGACGACCATGGCAGTGCATGAATTATTATTATTATCAGGGCCATAAAAAAGGAATTTGAAAAGGAAAATTTTTTTCATTTTACTTCGAACTGGCTTGAAAATCCGAAACTTTTCTCTTAAGATTGAGCCTGAAACTTCAGAAAACCAAATAAGGAAAACACGACATTAAAATTTCCAAGAAAAACCACTGAAAAAAAAGAAAGAAAAACAAGGCAGAGCAGATGTCCGTTTAACGATGTTTTCGGGGGGTTTCGGTTCCTTCGTTCGCATCTGTTTTTTTCTTTCTCTCTTCTCAAAACCCAACAGATTCCCATCTTTGTGCTGCTCGGAAGTTTTCCGTTGTTTTGGATCAAAAAGGAATGTTTTTCTTAAGATTCCATGGGAACCTCTTGGGAACTCAAAAAGCGTAAAGAAGTTGATCATGTCTCTTTTTTGACAAATATCGTTGAAGAGTTGTTGAGTTGAGGCGTCAGTTTATGAGGAGAAAAAAAGAGACTTGAAAAATTTGAGTTTTTTTCATCTTTCAAGTCCATTATTTTCCGTAAAACTTCCCTCTAAATCTTATGGATTTTTTTACAGAAATGAAAACTACTTCAAAAAAATCAAAGATGATTTTTTTCTAAATCTTCATCCTTTTTTTCTTGGGTTACTGTACAATAATTGACTGTAGACACTTTAACACAGGCATTCACTGAAAAGAAGAAAAAGGAAATGTTTTCCGCTGAACAATGCTCATGTTTGTGTTTATATTACCAAAAGTTCAAATAATCTTTTTGTTGGTTGTTTTAAGTTCAATGTACAAAGACAAAAACAATGACTCATTTTTGGTTTCCATAACAAATGGAATCAAAAATTTTTTTCTATTTTGATTATCTCATAAAAAAGAGAGGAAGATCAAATAATAGTTCATTCAGCTCTCTTACCAAATTTGCTAAATTCCAAGAGTTTTATTAAAAAAATATTGGAGGCTTAGATTAAAAAAATGAGCAAAAACTTGAATTTTTTTCCACTTTCCCACAGTCGCTTTTAATACGTAAAAAATGATAACCAAAAATGGTATCGTTTTTAAAAATTCATGAAAAAAATCTTCTTTATAAAAATCCTTCCCTCAAGTTTCTTCGATGATATCTGATATCTATGATTATTAACAAAAAAATAGTCCATTCATTGAAGATTTAGTTCAAAAAGGAAGAAAAACCGTTAAGAATGACCGAAAAACTTTGTGGTACGCGACTATCTAAAAGTTCAATCTTTTTTTTTTTCGGAACACAACTTTTTTGGAATTTGAAACTTTGATGACCATTAGATAAAGTTTCGTGGGTTTCTTTTCTGGATTTTTGAAGATAGGTTCAAAAAAGGCTTGAATAAAATATTGATCCATTATTGAATATTTTCTGCCATCTCACTTCAAGGTAAGTACCCTGAAAAGCTCGAAAAGTATGAATTTTCAAAAAATTCCGCTCCTTTCTTTCATTTATATATAGAGGTAGAGGTATGAGGAAATTCTAGCGCACTTATAATTTTTTTTAAAAGTTAAACTCACTTTTAAAAATATGAAAAACTCCGGTAGGGACCAATTTAACTTATGAAAGATCAGAAAACGGGAAAAGTGAATTTTGAAATTTGATGAAGTTATTTTAAGGTTCTCTTTCAATATTAAATTTTAATTCAAGTTTTTGGGAATGTCGAAAAATCCCTTCAGGATCAGTTATTCTAAAGTAAGTCCACAGTTTTCATAATAACTTGATCAAACTATTCGTTTGAATGATGAAATACCGAAAAAAAGGAAAAAGATAAGGAAAGTGAAATGAGGAGCCGGCGGCGTCGGCGTTGCTCGTGTGAATCTGCGGAGGGCCGCTGGCCAGACTGTCTAGAAGAGGCGGAGCAGAGAAATAGTATTCTAGGGGTCAGAGAGCCCAAAGATGGAAATCCGTCCGGCAACTTGCCGTGACTGTCACCTGGAGCGTCTTGAGACGCCTTTTCTGTCCAAGCCTATATGAAGGCTCTCCAACTTTTAAATGATGGTTGATGTTTCTTTTTTTTTGAAAAATCAAGGCTTTTCTAGGGTTTTAACCTATGTTAAGATGGGTTTTGGGTATCTGCAATCAAAAACTTCGTTTTCTGAGTTCACTCTGAGAGCATTGCCAGCGACGTTGGACTGTCAAAGGATAAATATAAATTATCTAAGTAAGGAAGTTTTTTGAATTTCGCTGATAACCCATGACCAATAAGAGGACAAAAAATCGTTCACTATGGGAATACTGCCAAAAAAAAGTATCGATTTTGAATTGAATATTCAGTATAGTAAATTCGTGAGGGAGTAAGGAACTCAATAACTTAACGAGGAAGAGTGGAATTCGAAAAATGAAATATAAGAATAGTTTAACCTCAAAAAGACGGCCGGGTATAGTAAATCAAAAAAATTTTTTTTTAAAGAAATTTTAATTAATGATATCTTTCTATAGTGATTCTTCTTACCAGTCACTGAAGGATTCTTTTTGTGCTTCTCGGAAGATTTTCTATTAAATTTGCGAATCTCTAACGATTATTTTCAACTGTAACAAACTTTTTTGCATTTTGAAAGAGATTTCAATTAATAATCCGATTACCTAATGATTATGCCAGCAGTCACAGCCTCCTTTGGTGGTATTTTTGTGAGGTTTCAATCATCAATTTGAGTTTTAAAACGCTATAGGGAGTGTCAGAGTAGTTGGGAGAAATGCTGTCATTTCTACGTATTCGGAAAAAAAAATAATATTTCACGTCAAATAAAACCTTGTCTTGCGAAACGTAAAAATCATGAAGATATATTTTTAAATCTATAGTTCGATTCTCTAATGATTCCACTCAACACTCACAGATCCATTTGCGGTTTTCAGTGACAATTTTAATGAATAGTCCGATTTTCCAATAATCCTACTCATTTTTTACCTTCACTTGAAGTCGCGGCGTAGGAATAGATGCTCCTCGGCGGCGGCTGTGGCGCCTGCATCAGCATCGTCATCCGGTTCATCTTCAGGCAAGACCAAGCTGAAAAATCTCATATCAACTTCAAAAGCTCTTGCAAAAAAGCCGAAAAACTGGTTCTCATCGGAGAAAATTTTGCATTCGCTTAATATTCCCCAGGTTCCTCATTATATATGGGTTAAGATTAGAAGGTGGGAAAACATGAGATACTCCTCAAAATTCAACAAATAATCTTTGATGCTTTAGTTTTCTACTTGGGTGGTTTGAAAGATGAAGAAAATGATTGAAATTTTTTTTTGAAATGATCATTGGAACGGTCTCTCAATGCAAAAATAGCCCCAGATATCAAAATTTAAATCCGGAGAGCGTTTTTTGATAAAAAATGTTCCGAGAAAACTTTTTCTGGGTAAAAAGCAATTTTATCAGTGGAGCAAATTTTCCATGCATAAATAGCCGTGGGCAACAGCTATAAAGATATTTTAGCCTTGGAGAGATTTTTAGAGGGTCAAAAAACAATCTTTGATCTTTAGTTTTTTACTCGGGTGCTTTGAGAGATGGAAAAAAAAATGATTGAAAATTTTTTTTACGCGAAACTTAATAAAAAAAAACACGGATCGGACAGAAATTTAAACGTGGAACTAATGAAAATGACCCTTGGAACGGCTTTTCAATGCAAAATTAGCCCCAGATGAGAAAATTTTCTTCTAGAGGAAAAAATGCAACTTTATCATTGGAGCAACCTTTGCTATGCACAAATAGCCGTGGGCAACAGTTATAAAGATACTTTTAACTTGGAGGGATTTTTCAAGGCTAAATTCCGCTTGAGAGATGAAATTCAACAAACTTGGAATAAAAGAAAGCAGAAAAAAAACTTCTAGAGCTCAGAAAGAGCCTCAGAAACTGAGATTCTCGAAAATGCCTTTGACTAGGAAATGGGATGAGGAGCTTCTTCATTCCATCATGATATTAAGTTGGAAGCCTCATCTCATGGCATTGTCAGGGAGAAAAATGACGTCAAGGGATACATATATACAAAGCGGGAACCTAACAAGGCAACTTGCAGCGGAACTAAAGAGGGAGTAAGAGGGGGCCAAAAAGCACGAGGAGAAAAGAAGAAAGAGAACTCTTTTTTTCGAAGGGACCATAGATGGCTGAGAAACAAGACTGCATCACTAATCATGCTTGGTTAAGTTAGAGGGAGCAATGAGACGGAAAACGACACGAGGCACTTTTCGGAGCAATGGAATTACCAGAAGAGTCGTTTTGGATTTTCGATGTTTGAAAGGACTTTTGACCTAAAACTCAGAAAAGGATATTTTGAAAAGTTTCGAAAATCTTCATTATGAAACTTTGAGAAAACCACTTCCTTATTCTAGTAAAGTGTTTCAAGCTATTCTGAGAAAGTTTTTAGTGGCCACTATAGGGTTTTGACGTTTTAGTGGTCACTATATTAGTCAAACTAGTGACCAGTTAAGGGATTAAAAATTAGTGGCCACTATAAAGGTCTAAGTGAAACAACTCGATTAAAAAAATATATATAAGTGGCCACTTTAGGGGTCAATGGATCAACATAACTGGTCCCATCTTTTTGTTTTAAAATTATCTGAGTTACTGGAAGGAATACTGGATGAAAAACTAGTGAAGTGACCACTAAATAGAGAACCTCCATAGTGGCCACTAAAACGGAAAATAGTGGCCACTATAGAGGTGGGTTTGAGTGGTCACTTTAGTGTCCTCTCCAACCACTTAAAAATTTACAGTTTTTTTGAAATTTCTGAATTTTCGAATGAAATGATCTCCCTTGGAAGTTTTGAACTTTTCAATTCTTACTTTAACAAAAAAAAAATTCTTAATGTTTTTTTTCTTAAAATTTGCTCGAAAAATAATTTTTTTAACTAGCTCAATCCTCGTCATAATAAAATAGTTATAATCATTTTCAAGCAGGAAATTTCATGAAAAATCCCTTAAAAGCACTTTTTTTGAAGTTCAACCTTCTAAAAATGAAGATAAAATTTCAACTGGAATTAACACAAATTGAGGTGCTTGAAAATTTATGTAAATGTTTTCTCTAGTTTCTGGATTTCTTTTAATTCCTTTCGAAATAAGAAGCTTATAACTATAAGCATGTAAAAAAAAACTTTGAGCCAAGAAAAAAAAATCAAATTCAAAAAAGCGACAGATCAATGATCCGAGCGCGTGGCGTTGGTCGCAAAATAAACAACATTTTTGAAGATATTGCGATTTTTCTCAAGGAAAGACACATTCATATAAATATATTTATGGGCTCAGTGCTCGCCAGGAATAGAAGCCAAGGCGGGCGTGAGTTATTATTGAGAAAATCTCTTTTAGAGGTGAGAAAATGATGATTCCCATGCTGGTCAAACACCAGACGCCTTTAAAAGTCGTCGGAAACACCTTACCTTTGGGAAAATTTTTGAAAATGCCTTGGAGATCTTTTCGTGTTTTATCGTTTACGTTATTTAATGTTTGAAGGTCATGAAGCCTTAAAAAATTCAAATTATCATTGAAAAGTGGCTCTTCGGCTTGAGAACTTTTTGAAATTCCTCTAAAGACACTTCCAAGCATTTTTTTGTGCCAGACTTTTCCTCAGTTTTGAGACATTTTTTTATTTTGAAAAAAATAAAATCGTTGTCCATACAAAAAAATACAGCTCTCATAAAAAGTATATACAATAAAAAAATCTTTGAAAAAAATTTTTCGTACCATCGTTTGGACTGACTTCCTCTTTGAAAAAAATTAAAAAAACCTTTTTTTCCAGTTTTTTTGATTCTTTTTCTTTGATCCAAAGCTTCACTATAACAATTACACTTATGAAAAAGTTAAATTTGACTTAAAAAAATCAAAAAAATAATTAGATTTTCAAAGTCTAGTTGGACTGGTCCAAAATGCTTTCTCAAAAAAATCAAAAAAAGCTTTTTAAAAAAATCTTTTTCAAAGTTCATGAAGCAGTTTTCAGTTCAAAATTTCCCACTGAATTCAAAAATGATAATCTCATCAAGATTATCGCAAAACGAACAAAGTTATATCATTTTTAAGACCAAAAAATAACAAGCCCAAAAAGCTATTTTTTTGTAAAATTAAACATTTTTTTCAAGTTTCTCAAACTGCATGTCTCATGCAAAAATTTCACGCTGAACTCGAAAAATTTGACTCTCCTTTCTCATTTCGCCAAACTAACGTTGCTAAATCGATTTTTATTAAAAAAATCTTTGTTTGATCAAACACGATTTTGAGCGCTTTATTTAGCGTTATTTTCAAGTTTTACTACAGTTTTGACGCAAAAAGTACTTGAATTATTGTCTTCTGAAGAAGTTGCTAAGTTTGCGTTTTTAAAGCGTAGGGAGAGTGTTCCGAAGAGTACGAAAGACAGCGCGACATCGCGCGCGACACTACGGTGCCTCCTCGGCTCGTCTGACATTCAAAAATTGAGACCTAACTAGGGAAGTTCTCTGGTCGACTTCAGAAGGAGACTGCGTTCACTAAAAACTGCTGTCTCAAATCTTCCAGAGTCGACAAGATTTTGGAGGCCTATCTCGAAAAATAATGTTTTTCAACTAAAATTATTATCTATAAAATTGTTTCTGAAAGCTCTAGGGCTAATTATTTGAAGATATGAGATGTGAATTTATTAGATTTTTTAAGAATAAAACTTAAAAAACTGATGAAAAAATTCTAGGAAAACGTTTCTCTTTCTGCTCATTAAAAAAACGACGTGGCGGATTTGAAAAACAATGCGCGGCGTGAAAAATGACTTGAAAAACATACTGAATGTCAATCAGAGAGAACACTCGCCCCGAAATGTCTGGACAAGGAACCGCGATAAAAAAATCATTACTCAACGCAAAAAAAAAAAGATAAAATGTCCTATTTTGGGTTTTTCAAAACAAGACAAAAACAATAAAGATAAGGAGAATGAACTTTTTGGCGGCGTGCAAAAAGGTCCTGCATCGTTGCGAAAAATTCGGAAGTTAATATTAATTTAATAGTAATATATTCCTTTTTATTGAACTTACAGATTTAGTTTATTTTATTCTCAAGGAATATAAATGAATCTGATAAATTTCAAATTTAGATTTCAAACTTTCCAATTTCAAACTTCTGATGATAAAGGAGCATGAATATATCAATAAATATCGAATTTCCAGGATAATGTTCCGATAGATCTCAAGAAACTCAAAAATTCATAGCCTGAAACTCTTAGATGGTCTCGACAGGAAAAGCGATCTGAAAGATTTCCGAAGTTCAAAGGAGCATAGTTTGACATTCTTATACGGTCTCGACACGAAAAGCGGTCTCAAAGATCTTAGAAACTCAAAGGCGCATAGTCTGACACTCTTAGATGGTCTTGCCACGAAAAGCGATCTCAAAGATCTCCAAAAACTTAAAGGCGCATAGGCTGAAATTCTTATATTGTCTCTACACGAAAAATCATCTAAAAGATCACCAAAATTTGAAGAAGCATAGTCTGACATTCTCAGATGTTCTCAACGCGAAAAGTGACTATTCTTGCCATTTAGGTTCTGGATCGTCGTTTACCCAAAAAAATTTTTCTTTAAACTTTCAATCATTACAAAAAATTTTCAAGGAACACGCCTTTGAATCTTTGAAAACAGGAAAGTTGATCCGAATTTTTCGGGAGTTTCCATAAAAATTGCAATACATTCAACTACCCAGTTAAAAGATACTCAACCCCGAACAGCAGAAATCAACTTTTAAAGGGAAAAAAGGTCACGCCACAAAGAGTTTCCAGACGTTTTTTCCAACTTTACTGCCCTTTCAAAACTGGTCATGGAAATTCACGGAAAAACGGCAATAAAAATGTTCATTTTTCCCAAGATCACACAGCGCAACAGAACCGTCAACAAGCTGTAAATGAACACCAGAATATATTGTTGGGACGGAAATGGTGTTTGAGCGGCGCCTTTTTTTGGCTCGGAACAAAACGGAAAGTGTTTACGGATTCACTGAAGAAATGAGAAGAAAAGCAGAAATTTCCTCTGGTTCCAACGTCAGACAAAAAAGAAC